ACTCGACACCGTTCCTCGGATATATTTTACACCAATGATAAAACATTGACCGGCAGTAATGCCCAGAGAGTGGCCCCCGCAAAGTGCGAATTCCACAACGTGGAATGAACGCGTTGCCCATTCCGCGTTGTCGAACGAGGGAAGTTAGGTGTCAGCAAGGCAGTTGGTTGTTGGCACGAAAACGACAAATCGGCAAACCCACTTTCTGCTAACCGTCGCATTATCTTCCCCGACGCAACAACATTTTTCTGCAAGAGCCGAGCAAAATGTCAATAGTTCGCACATTTAGAGTGGGGGGATAAAATAGACAAGCAGACAGAAGATTCTTTGTCGCGTACAATTTTGCGTGGTGCGGTCTCTAACTAAATAGGATATCGTACACCAGCTTTCCTGCATTTTCATACGTTCTGCATGTGAGCGATTCCCGGTTACAAAATATACGGAACCTTTAATTTTTTAATTCGAATATATTTAAAAAAAATCATGAGCCGTTCCACTCTGTGAAGGTAGATGCCCAGCGAAGCTGTTTTGCACACGACACAGACCCGCCCTGAGGGGCCGGAGGAAACTAGACACGCGCGACGGGACCGCCACCCCGGGAGAGCGGAAGGAAAGGAAACTAGGCACGCGAGAGCTTGGAGTGACGACAAAGAGAAGGCGGTGCGAGCGTAGACATGGCCAACGCGGGTCGCACAGCGGGAAACCTTTGAGAAACCTTTATTATTTACATGAGAGTCTACTGTTCTTGAAAATGGTACCAATTGATACCTAATCTGGTGAAAATGCATATCTAAAGGATAAGATATGTATAGGCTTTTGCATAGAATGGTGCGATTTTGCATCGTATTCGGGACCTGAGTTTTTGTTGACGCACACGAAAAATCCACGGAACCCTAGCCGTAAGCAGCTTCGCCGTAAAAAAAAAAGCGTGAGTGTGAGATAAGTGCCGTCTTTACCATGTTTTTTCCAGGCTCGGCGGACATAATATAATGGGATATTTGTCATGAAAATCTGGCTAACTAAATAAATTGGTTCATAATTTTTTTAAGTTTTACAATCAGAGGCCATACCAAAGAGATAATTTGCTAATATGTAATAGTTCTCTAGATATCAATTGATAATTTTTCCTCGTTCTTCTCAAGAGCTATTACGCTCGCGCGAATTCGTCGTTTTCCTAATAGTAATTGCCGTCCAATACTACATATCCCCTCATATAATGTCCACCAATCTTGATAGGTACGGCATTCCTCTAAATCTCGCCCCCTAGCTATTGAAAGAAAATCTTTTCGAATTAAGCTTTCATTTTCTGCACATACATAGACAAGGTGACGTTGTCACGAGGTGCGGTGGGATCACTATGGGAATGGATTTATCAGTTTGATCTGGGGAAAAAACGTCAGTCAACAGTATGGACGTGGAAGCTGCCCTGAAGTGTCGAGAAAACAAAATGGTGGCGACTTTCTTGGGCAAACCGGTAATGTTGCAACTGCTCATCCCAAGGAACAAAGGACTGTTAAGCGCGAAACACATGTACGACGAAACCTTCCGATCCGACGTGCGGACTAGCTGCCGGAATGACCTTGGGAGGAGAGGGTGTTCGTAGCATCGGAGACCGTTGAAAACCCTCGCCTCCGAAAGTCATATTGCCTGGTCGGACGTCGGATCGGACGGTTTTCTCGTACATATGTTTCGTGCTTTACTGCTGAGAGGTACGTGACAACAGTATGAGCACGGTAGGTTTTCGGCAAGCCGCAAGAGAGGTGGCTATAAGAACAGGCTGCAGGGGGATCGTCTCGCACCACGCACACAACCGACATCAGTAATCAGTTCTTGAAGTTCGCAGAGGTTAAACTTACGACTCGTCCACTTCACGGTCCTGACCTGGCCCCCAGTGTTTATCTTCTGTTTCTTAGAGTAAAAAGAAAAATGGCATGCACGAGACGAGGTATGCCTACGAAGGAAACTTGCGGCACTCGAAGAAAATGAGGGCATTGTTGTCAAAAATTGTTTACAAGAATATAAAAGTGCATAACATTCCTTGGCGAATATTTTGATAAAATGTAATATTCAAAAAAAGATTTTCACTCCTTCATATCTGTGTTATCACTACACTTTCGTAATACCGCTTGTACATATTACAATTTATGTAGTAGGGAAACATTTAAATTGTAGTAATGCTTCAACAAAAGTTCGCGGAAAGCGAACAGTTAGATCGAAAAAAAGTGCATGAATTGGTTTTCAATGTGACAGAAAACTCGCGACTTACCTTCGGTTATTCTGATGCTCTTCGTCCCTCCTCTTTGTGAATACTTGGTATTATCCATCCAGTCTCAGGTGGTCTAAGAACATGGTAAAAATAACCAGACCTTTTGGACGAAGGAAAAAAATTCCTAGAATTTCTACAGCAGGCTAAAATAGACGTTTTGCCGAATTACCCAAGCATCAAAGAGGATGCCGGGAGCGTAGGTACACGGACTGCGCGTGCTGGATTCTGCAGCTAGAACTGTTCGAAAACAAACATCTAAAACAAATGTAAATTTGCACGCGCGTTCTACAAACGTTTCATTTTGGTTATTTACTTCGAATATTTCGTACAGGGAAGGCGAGCGAATGCAGCGCGTGCACCTACGTTCCCGGCATTCTCCTCAATGCTTGGGCAATTTAGCGAAATGTCTCTTCGATTATGAAGAGTTTACGCAGTACAAGGCAGTGCAAAAGGCTATCGAATTTAGACGTCAATACACGCAGCGAGGTTTCCAACAATTGTTCAACGCTTGTGTTTTTTTTTTTAAGGAGAAATTTATGTGCAAAGAAGGGTTTATGCAGTGGGTCCAGTTTACGCATGCTATCTGCGATATTTTCTTCAGCAGCTGCGACAACACCATTTCAAACTGGTTGACGGCGAGCTAGGGCAAATTTATGATATCTCTGTATGTCTTTGGTTCTTTTGATCATGAACCTACGTCGCTCCAAGGGAAGGCACTTCGCCGGTACGCCCCGATTCCCTCCGGCTGCGTTATCGAGTTTCGTTCCCCTGGGAGCAATATCAACAGTTCACGACGCGCGCCACACCCCCGCCAGCCATCGTCTCGGCCACAAGCTTAGAGTGTACCTTTCACGTTGGTGGTGGATGTACATAAATTTGCGGCTATCGCTTGTGCGGGTGGTCTTCCTTGACATGATATTTTTTATAGCGTTTTAACCGCGGTTTCCAATCAGAAATTGTACATTATCAAGATAAAATGCAACGTTTTCCCGGTTCCCTTCTGAGTAATAGCCTACATCATGCATGTGTAGGATTTTTTTTTTTGCCTGAGTCATGTGGCTTCTTGGTTGTACCCCAAGGAGTGCTTGTGGAGCCGCTCTTGTTTTTTTTAACAGTTATTCATGATTTGAAGGTTGAACATTCATTTGCGCAAAGCCGCCTTTTCTCAATGGTTGTGTTTTATTTTCTACTGTAAACATACGGTCAGATCAGAAGGAACCCTTGTTACTGTTTAAATTAGATTTATTCTTGGCGTTTAGAATTGAATATGGGTTTGAATTGCAAGAAGTGTGTTGAAATGTTGTTAACGTAATAATACGCCACGTTATAGTTGACATATTCTATCAGTGCGGAAGCACCCGCTCTCAAAACGACTTTTTTTAAATATATTAGTGTTTTCATTACTTCAGATGTGATCTGGAACGTTCATATGAACTTCATCGCCCAAAACACTATCCAGGAACAACGTAATCATTTTAACCACAGAAACTAAACAAAGCTGCCTGCCTGGTTGTAAAATTCGCGAGACAGTAATAACTGCTCATGTACAACATCACAATACGTAGATGACATCAAATATCCAGGAATACAAATTGACAGCCATCTTACTTAAATATTCACATTGAACAGGTTCGTAAAAAGAAATTATAAAAAATAACAGCACTAATGTATCACAGTCAAGACCTCATTCCACTTTCAGAAATCAGAATGATATATGACTCATTAGGAAAATCAAGTCTACGGTTAGGTATAACAGTTTATGAACATTGTGCCCACCATTTACAGCAACGGATAGATTCTATTTATAAAATAATAATAAGAAATATTGGCTATAAGAGCGAAGAGACAGACATTGCACAATATATGCATAACGAACTTGGAATTCTGCTATCTAGAACTCAAACAAAATATAACACAATTATATAAAAAATTGAAAGCAAACAAAAAATGGATATTATCATGGGAAGAGAATTAATAACAAATGAAAAGTATTTTTAACCTTTTATAAATACAAAATACGGAGAAGTGACTCAAAAGATTACGTGACAAATGTATTCATTGAGTTACCAGAAGAAATCCTGATAAAAGCTCTTAAAACCCTTAAAATGTCGAAGGAAAAAAATAGGATAATCACAATACTAACACAGAAAAAGTAAAAAAAAATTCAAGGGGGAAAAAGTTATTTTAAGAAAAATTTCGAAACTGTATTTCGTAGTAGATCAAAGATTGTGCCAATACAAACCGATACGGTTTTACCGAACCGTTAGCGTGCGCAGCTAGATCTAGGTACCACTCGTTTCTGTGCTTTTGTCGCCGCGAATAGTGCAAACAACAATTGATTCAAAGAGCAGAAAACAAACAAACAAACAAATAAACAAACATAGTGTTTAATATTTTTATCCGCACAATTGAGAAGGAAAATTGAGTCTCAACCTCGTGGGGCCTTGGGATACCATGACGTCACGTGACCTCAGGTCTCGTGACGTGATCACGCGACGTGACGTCACAGTCTCCCGTGTACCGACATCACTTCCAGGCCAACTGTAGTCGGGAGATTGAATTGCTGTCTAAAGCTAAGTCTCAGTTCCGAGTTTCCCAATAAATTTAACAGCCGCAACGGACGGACGTATATGGTCTAAGTGTCTAGTGGCCCTAGAGGCGTACTTTTAAAAATTCGTCAGCGTCAGCTTTTCGCGCACTGGTTGACGCGCCCACTCTCTGCTATCCTTGGCAGGCCGAGGCTCGGTGAAGGCGACGACCCTGGGCCATGGCAGCATGGAGCTTCTCACGGGGCCCCGGGTGTACACGGGGCCCTCCCTGGGCTGCCCCAACGGCCCGGGCTCCGGCTCGGACGGCGAGGGCTACTCCCAGCCACCGCCCAAGTACCCGGGCTACGGCTCGCTGCCGCGCAACAGCGCGGCCAAGACGGCCAAGGGCCGTAACGGGGGCTCCCGGGGTCGGCTGTCGTTGCGGCGAGGCCCTTCTTCGTCGTCCACGTCGGACAACAACTCGGACGCCACGGACTCGGAGATGCCCCTGCATCGGAGGGCCAACGGCCAGGCGTCGCAGAGCAGGGAATCCAGTGAGTGAGGGGCCGGCTTCCCGCGTGCGGACGGGGTTGCTGTGAAGGAGAGGAGACGCGAAGCGCGGTGGGAGAGAGTGTTTACCTGTGCGACGACGGCCGGCAGCTGCTTCTCGCTTTGGAGTAGATTAAGGGTTCCTCATCTATTTGCAACTCATCTGATAGTGGTTAGTCGACAAAAAGAACGTACCCTCTTAAGTATTTCGTCTCTCCCTCGAAAGCAAAGTTCTACTATTTTAAAGAACACGCGACATTCGGGAAGCCGTACAAAACGCATGAAAGCAGTTGCTACGACTATAGACAGTTACAGGTTAAGATAAACATTCGAGGGAAAGGATGGCTGGGGAGTAGGAACCAAACGGAACGTTTGGTTCCTCCAGGAACTTCAGTTAGCCCTAAGTGAACCGACACTTCGTCGGCTTGAGGGTGAGTCCGGCGGTGCAGATTGCCTGAAGCACGGCTCGAAGACCTCTCACGTGATCGTCGAAGCCGCTCGAGAACACCACGACGTCGTTAAGGTAAACGAGACAGCTCTGCCAGCTCGATATCGATGACACGCTGGTATGTTGCCGGTGCTGTACAAAGTCCAAAGAAAGAACGAGCGTCGAGAAAGCAGCGAAGAGCGTCGAGGTGTCGGCGTGACATCTGGCTGGCGCGAGATTGGCCGAGTGACTCGGCAAGGTCATGCTGGGCTCCTTATATACTACACTCAATATCTCAAACATTCAGCCTAGAATGTTCGAGCCTCGAGCTAGGCCGCGGCTGACTCGGCAAGGCCATGTTGTCTTCCTTATCTCTCACATTCGGGGTAAGAGTAAACACGGATCTTCCAGAAGTACGGAGAAGCGTTCCTTCTCGGTGATGCACGCCGCAATGTTACCTCTAGGTTTAGAGAGGAAATAAAGAAGTCACGTGACACTGGTGTCATGTGACATGGTGACGTATTCCATAACACCATGACGTTACATGATAGTGTAACGTGTGACTTGACATCATGACGTCACGTGTACATGAAGTTTTTTATCATGTGACATCACAACAAAACTGACATTAATTTCGCCGGCGGAGAAATAATAATAATAATAATAATAATAATAGTAATAATAATCTTCCTTTCCTTTTCCAAACAAATAAAAAGGGAGACAAGGCAAAAAATGTGCAAATTTGGAACTTGACGAGGATCTGCCTCCTATGGCCAGAAAGCAATAGAAACATTTTCAAACTAGATTGAAAAACTCAAATTCTAACCTTATTACAGGTTTCAATTTAAAAACTGAATCAAGAGAATACGTTAGTCTACAATTCGACATACATAAAGAAAGGAGCAAACGACAAATTATCAGGGTGCCAAACGCTAGAAGCATATTCATAAAACTGTTTCCAGTAGCCCATAACGTACACACACTTTGATGTCCAGTAATAACCTATATTTTCGAGTTTGTGAAGGAGTGATGTAAATATGTATATTAAAGACGCTAAGCCATTATTAGTGCGGCTACCGGGAACACACCAATTCTTGCCGTATCGAGATACGCACGGAAGACTTGTTCTTACCAAACCTGACGATACAGGAAGAAAAAAAGATTATAATTTTGTTTTATCGCAGTATTATACAGCATTCACACTGAAGCTTTGAACCCCCTGTAAATGATCGGCAAAAATCGGTTTCTGGACGTATCGCGCGGCAATTTATTAGAGAGGTGCAGCTAGGTCGTGGAAGCTTGCAGTGAAAATATCAACAAATCAGCTTACTTCGTTAAAAAAAAAAGGCGAGAATGAGCAGTCACAGCTTCTTCCACAACGAAAAGTTCGTCCTCCCCCATAAAGTATCGTTTACAGGATTCCCTGCGCGGATTGTTTAGACGAATACATTGGGGAAACCTAAAACTTTCAGGAGGGGATCCGCCAACATCCGAACGACGTTCGCATGTTCGATCACGAACTCGGCGCGGATGCACGCACACAGCGACGTCAAAGACCACCGCACTGATTTTAGCAACACCCGCACGCATTCTCAGCGTTGAAACCAACCACCGACGGGGACTTTTCTTTGGAATCGTGGCGCATAGAAACCACGTAAGAAAAGATAAATTAATCCGTCGGCGCTTTACCATATCCGCCAACGTCCACCGGGCTTCGCGACATCACCAACTCAAAGAAGAAATGCACCACGGTAAAAGAAGACGAAATTCGAAAATGATGCTCCCGAACGGCCATCGCCACAGTCACCCCCGAAGAAAGAGCCAAGTAGGCCTCAGAACGTAGGACTCCCAACTAAGGCTTGGTTTGATGTATTCCCTTTTATTATTCTATTGACCTCGTTAAAAACAGTTAAAAACAAATAGTGCTGAAGCAACACTGTGTTTTATATTTTGCGTTTTATGAGAGAGCGCAAACTAGGCTGCTTCCAGAGTGCTGTAAAACAGGGTGCTTTAACTATTTTTAATTTTTTTATATGTATTTAACAATACGGAAAGTCATATAATGAACCAAGTGGGGGACTTTTAACCTACATAATAAGACACCAACAATAAAACAACCACACAATCCTTTAACTGAACTTTCATGTGTGGAACACATGCGTTTGGCATTGCACGTGGGGAGCCAAAACAGCACGAAAGACATGGACAACAGTGGAACATACACGACACTACAAGCGATTGTCCTTTCATGTATGCTCCTCGCTTGTTCTTGTGCTCTGCGCTGTTTTTGTTCACCGTCATATAACAGCGGCAGCATCTATAGTGTATTCGGAGGCGATCGAACACTTTAGCTAGCCAGGAACACTAAAGTCAGGGATGTACGGTTTAGTCGTACTGCCTCAGCCACGGTTTTTAGTCTCACGGGAAATGCAGACATCGCGATGAGTTCGTTACGCAAATATTTCTCAACCTAAGTCTAAAAAAAGAATAATAATAATAAAAAATAAATTTTTTGATTATCAAGGTATATAACTATTTCAAAAATGAAGCTTCAAATAATAAAACACTTTTGCACTCTTTGTAGAAATATCTCGAACTTCCGTGTTACTGTTTGTCTTAGTAAGTAACTTATTTGAAACAAAGTTTTTAAATTCTGATTTTTTATTTTTTTATTTTTGCCGGCGTTAAGATGTCGGGTAACAACTGCTGTCTTTTTATCTTGCCTCTGGTGTCTGGGTGGCGTCTCATAGATGCAATTAGGTTATTGATTTTTTAGTGTTATTTTTCTACGGACTTTTGCGAGCCAATGGCGCTTTGGCGAGTTCCCCTAGGCGGGCTAACCGATCTTTGGGTGTTCGCCGATTTTGAGAGGAGTGTCGAAAATCCTCCTCGTTATTCAGGTCGCATTTCTCTTCTACGCCACAGTACTGCGTAAGGGTTCAGCTGGGTTTCGTCACCGATTGCAGAACGCCGTATTCAGTCCAGGGCTGGCCTCCCGAAGGTGCACTAAAACATTTACGGCCTCGGTATCTAAGATAGGCTGCTTCTAGCGGTGTCGCAATCCTACCGAAGTTTGAGTTCTCCCACGTTAGACATTTTCCAACTTCTAACGCCAACTTCGACAAAAGTTGGGCTGAAGTTGCCCTGCATGCGCGGAAATTGAAAACGAGCTCACGACGCCGGTACATTGTTTTTCATTTGCGAACTAACGAATCATCAAACTTTAACATGCTCGCTTTATTAGTGCGGGCGTATTAGTATTCTCTAAAATCTAAACCGTGCTATGAATTACCCAATATCTGCAGTTTTTGTTTAAAAAATTTCAAGACGTCGAGTATCGTCGAGTTTGCGTGTAAGTTGGAAAAGGTTGGTCAAAGCTGGCCAGACCCTTGGTTGCCAGCGGAGTGTTTCCGGTGGCGCGCCACTCAAAAAGAGGCCGTCGGTGTCTGCAGCGCTGCGCGAGAGCCCCCCGGAGCCCGCGCCCCCGGCCGTGCCCCCGCGCAACGTGCAGCCTCCGCACCACGGGGACACCCTGACGGCCGGCCGAGGACCGCGGCTCGGAGGATTCATGGACTCCGAGTGCGAGTCCGAGCCTCCGTACCTGCCCGCCGGGCTCCGCAACGGCTCGGGCTCGCTCACCGGCGGCGGGGCCACGCAGCACTCGACGACTGGTACGCCCGCCGCCGAATTCCTGAACCCCAGCCGCATGCATTCCACCCCTCGGTCTCCCATTTCGGCCGCCAGGCCGCGCCATTGTTTCGCTCTACTCCAGCGTAGCGCCCCTCTTTCAGTCCTCCACGTCTCTTCCGCTTGGTGGCGCCTCTGGTGTTTTAACGGAGAGAAATGTAGTGAAACGGTAGAGTGGGCCACTGAAACTCTACCGCGGTACAGCCATTTAAATTCACAGCACCCACTTGCTGGCGCAATAGTGCCTAATAATTAATACATTCTTCATATTTGTGCCACTAATAAAGAGTATTTACTCTAGCTTCAGTGTTTCCAAACATTAGTTTCAGGTACGAGCGTTCTCAAAAATATTACACTGATTGCAATTGGGCTTTGGCAAGACGCACGACTCGGCAGCCGCAATAATAAAAATAATTAATAATAATAATAATAATAATAATAATAATAATAATAATAATAATAATAATAATAAGTTTATTCAGCAAATGAGCCAAGTTGGTGGGCGCTCGATCCTGCGTGCTGTTTCTGTCGTCGTGCGCATTTTTTGTCGTACTTCTTTTGTGGAGAAGGTAAATTTAAAGGAGCAATTTCATGAAGCATACTTTAAGCGTCCGTTGGACGTCAGCACCGTTGGACGTCAGCACTGATAAAGCAGACATTGACAATCTTCTTTATTGGCATTTGATGAGCACATATCCGCGTACGGGTATCGTTTAGCGCCCACTAGATGGCCGTGGTTGCCGTGACGTCTTGATAGAAAGTTCTTTATCATTCTTAATTAATCCCAAATTTTATTCGCAGTGAATTGTCTAAATTCAAAAGCTTCGGCTAGGTGGCGCAAGCCGCCCCAATTCAAAGAGTTCATGCGTATCGTTCATTCCATCCAGTACGATCTTGAAAACAAGGCCTGTGCAGTACGTCACTGTTGGTAGATCCCTGAGCTGCCACAAGCGGCAAACGCGCTGAAAATTGACTAGAGTCTCGCGCGAAGCGGCAGTCGCGTGCGACTTGGCGTGGGCCTGTTCTAGCGTCGCACTTGTGAGACGCTGAAAGAAGTGCTGGCGGCGACGCTGAAGCGTCTCGCCGTTCGTCGCTGGGAGAACAGTGACGTGCTTGCTCCTGAGAACGAAGTCAAACACGCTGATCGCCGTCGAGACCTCATGGTGCGTGAACGCAACACCGATGTCCAGTGACTTCGCCATGACGAGTCGTAGATATTGCTGTCACTCTACTGTAGATTCATAGTAGACTATTGATTTTCTTTGTATGATTGTGTTTGTGGCCACGTCAAATGTTTGTGTATAATCAGTTATTTTCCTCGGGTGTTCCTTTGTTTTTTGCTGTTAAAGGAATTATTCGGTGAAAACCGGAAGTTCTTAAAAGGATGCTGAGCTGAAATCTGGATTCCACAAAACACGGCAGTAAAAGCATGCAACCGGATGCTACAAACACCAAAACACCACTCATATAGCGATATCTCGAACATATCACCGTATTTACAAAAAAGAAAAAAAGGAGGCGCATTTGACAGATATGTTTACGTCTTGTTTTTTTAATATTTCTACTATTTCGTAACTATTTTGTCACAGTTTGTAAATCGCTTTAGTTCCCATCATAAAGACAATCTATGCTAATTTTAAGGTAAGTCGACATTATTAGTGAGTGGGGTTTACTGCTGTGCATGCTGCCGTGCTGAGAAGCAAAGAGTTTGCAGCGACTACCTGCGACTGTAAAGAGTTCTTTTTGTTTTTTCGTAGTGAATGTTTAGACGACTTAAAGAGAACACTTAAAAATGCATTGGAAAAGGCCCTCCAGCTGGCTTAAGGATGTTACGGATAATTGTAATTTCGAAATATGCAATCGATTTTCAACGCAAATATACTGATCGAGCTGGCTTGAATTAGTCCTCGTTTGCGTTGAAACGCAAAATTTCAAGTCCTGTTTCTAATCTGTGCTCTTTTTTTTTTCATTTCTGGCGGTACCTTTATAAGCAGGCAGTCTTGTACACGTTACTAAAAAAAAGTAATCGATTACAATTACTATTACTCTTGGCTAAAACGTATTCGATTAGATTACTTGATTACTCGACGGCAAAAGTAATTGAACATTACTTAAAGAAGTAATCGTTACTTTTCCGATTACTTTATTGTGTGAAGACACATCTTTAGCGCTCATAAGAAGGAACTACTTCCAACCTATATTTCACATTTGTACAAGTATTGAAGAAGAAAAACTGGCTCCCTCTTCGTGGTCGTTGCACCTTCACAGTGCGGACACAAGCATAGAATTCGTTTGAAGACGTTTAATGATTTGGGCGTTCGCCAGTGTGTGTGTGTGTGGGGGGGGGGGGGGGGGGGGAGCGGAGGGGGTTCTAGATCTTGTTAAACCTGAGCAAGGTTTGTCGCTCAAAGTTGGCGTCGCTCATTTTATTATTCACATGTCGATGATCTTGCATGTTATACAAAAGGATTTGAATCGGATCACGTGTAGTATCCATTAGCGGAAGAGATCGCCCCGACCACTTCTCAACTCGAAACATTGCTTGTCATAATGACCACGCAGGGGAAATGGGGAAATATTTCAACTGGTTTTGTTATATTTTGCATCCGCTTTAGGCATTCTTCGGTTCTGATTCTCCTACGGGCTGCGAGTAGGTACCCTAAGCAGGATTATTTTATTTTTTTATTTCTGTGTGTGTGCGTGAGGGGGCTAGTTTGAACGAAGGACTCACTAAGCTACATTCTGCTTCCTCAAACTTCGCCCTGAATGGCCTTTGTCACGCACTGTGGCTTTACTGGGGCTGCCCACTCCCAGTCCCAGTTCGAAAAGAAACAAAAACGGACATTCCACAGAAACTGTACATAGAAAGAGATTGACCTCTTTTCCTACAGCTCCGCACAACTCTTTTTTTTTTCGTTCGAAAAAAAAAGCAAATTTTATTTTATTTTTGTCATTTCATAAAAAAAGGCGTGTGCCCGGGGGGGGGGCTCCCATGGACAAATTGTAACGGTTACAAGTAATTTTATTACTTAAAAAAGTAATCAGATTACTCTTCTGTTTACTGCCTACTGAAAGTAATCAACTGATTACAAAATTACTCCAAAAAGTAATCGATTACAAGTAATTTGATTACTTGTAATGCGTACGGTACAAGTCTGTAAGCAGGCGACATGTGCCTTATTTATCTGTCATACACTTGGTGGTGTATGACAGATACAGACACCAACGATTGCGATGGCAGAAAAAAAAAAGAAAAAAAAGAAAGGAAAGTATATGAAATAGTGAGAATTACTTTTTATTGAATATTTGAATACTAATTAGTCAGATTAGTCGTGGGATTAGTGTTTGAGAAAGGTAATAATACAATTACAAGATGACTAAAAAGTAAAAGAAAAAAAATAAGGGACAATTGCGAGAAACCTGATTGCATGTCATTAATTACGCACACATCTGCATGTACACCCCGCGACAATAAGTGTGAACGCGAAGAAGCAATCCTTAATTTTTTTTTCTTTCGGTATTTAAAGACTGTTTGAAAACTGCTTTAGTGGTGGAAAGTGCCCTATTGGAGTACTAAACTTGCATTTATTAATTTATTTATATATTTATATCTTTATTTATTTGAAGACTTACATCGCCTTAAGAGGCATTATAGTAGGGACTCCGGATGTTACTTCTGGAGTCCCTACTATAACTATACCCCTGCGGGGCTCCGGATGTTTTTTTCTATAAAAGAGGACTACACACCGTTAATGAACACGGACTGTTTCCTTGGATTTAAGTAATCGCCAATCCAATTAAATATTTTCGGATCTATATCTAGTTTATGAAGTGTCTGGATAAGGAGAGCATGAGGAATTATATCAAAAGCTTTTCTGAAGTCCAGGAAGATACATTCAACTTGTCGGGCTTAGCATACGATTGTGAAATGTCATGATAGAACTCGAGCAACTGCGTCGTACATGGAAATCCCGTATGAAAACCGTGTTGAGACGGACCAAAGACATTTGTGAGACTAAGGAACTTCATGAGGTTATTGTAAATGATGTGCTGCATAGTTTTGCAGCACACACTTGTCAGCGAGATGGGCCTGTAGTTCTGTACCAGATTTTTAGGGCCGGATTTCTGGACGGGGACGACATTTGCAAATTTCTAAGAACAAACCATTTTTAAAAATGCTGTCGACAAAGTAACCAAGTACCTTCAAATACCTTCAGCGCAGGACTTCAACACAGCGTCGGGAATTACATCGGGACCAGATGCTGAATCTTGTCTTATTTTCGCTCGAAGTTTGAAAACACCATGTGTGTCGAAATGAATTTCAGGCATCAAATTAGTAGGGGCAGGTACTTCATCGAAATCGCAATAATCCACCGTCCCGATTTCCGAGAAAACTGACTTCAAGTAATATCGAATGTGGCAGCCTTTAAAGTGTCATCTGCTAAAAGGCTACCCCAGACGAATAGGAACGGAATTTCAACGACACCCGTTTTATTCAAACGAATGATCTTCCAGAATTCCTTGGGATTTGGCCGGAGTTTCACATTTAGAGTTGAAAAGTAGTTTGCCCGTGACGAAGTTATTGCGCACTCGAAGGAATACTGAACCGAAATTAGGAACTCCCACATAAAGTTAACGTCACCTGCTTCGCTCATTTCCTCAAACGCCGGGTAAAATACATAAATATTACCAGACAAACCAGCATAATCAGGTTATAAAGCAACTGAAAAAAAGAGCTTCTTTTTTTACAAAAACAGTTTGGTTAGGGCACGCGTGTAAACAAATGAATTTTACGCAAAAAAAAAAATAAATAAAGTTACAGCAATATTGACTGCGCCAGACGCACTTTAGTCGGTAGTTACCTCCTTTCCACTTGTTTTCTCTCTCGGCATTTCGGGCGCGTGGAGGAGAGAAGCTCTGGCAATGAGAAGCTGTCGCCATCACGTTGAGGAGGAGAGATTGTATGAACATCTTGTTGACGTGAAAAGAGTGTGTGACCATTCCTCGACGTCATGGACCCTACGCGCATTATTTAGGCGTGACAAATATAAATCTTGCGCCGTCTATATTGCTCTAAAGTATTTTTTGCCCCGTAAAATTGATATTTTTTGGACACGCGTGTCCAAACCAGATTGTTTAATCTTTTTTTTTTTTAGTGATTTTTTAAGAGTGAAGTGAAAGCTTCTACCACCTTTTTCCACTTTAGCCGAGTGAACGCTGGAGAGGAGGTCCCCTCCTCTCCAGCGTTCGTTCTTCTAAAATGGAAAGAGAGTTGGGAGGAGCTTCCCCCGAACGCTTGATCGTTCATCGATTATAGTGGTAAAGTTTGATGCGCGCCAGTACCCTTTCTAAGTAAAATGCGCAAAAAGCGCCGAAATCGTGTTCGCGCTAACAGTGTTGCGCGAAGTTCATCCAGTTTCCGCGAGCCGGGCGTGGTCGTGGTAAGGAGAAGAAAACGTTACATGTACCTTATTCTGTCGCGCATGCGCATGCATTTAGATGTGAAGGCAGAAATATTTCAGGAAGGAAACGCCGCAGCGTTCAAAAAAGCGTTGGCAGTTAAGTGAACCGTACGTTAAACCTGAGCAGGCTGGTCTACACGCCACTGGAATCTTGTGTTCTGCCGTCCTGTAACTCGCGGGATGAATTTTAGTGGCTGCAGAAGCAGGGCCTCAATAGTGCGTGATTAGATGTGCTTGAACCAAAAATATCGAAACGTCCATGCAAATGCGGCACATGGCAGCAACCTCGACGGGCCAATAGAAGGGTAACGCAAGATGTTGCATGTAAGCTGTGGAAAGAGCCGAAATTTGGCGCCGCCGTCAACCAATAGAGACGGCTGCGAGACGATCAAACCGGGGTTGTGCTAGCTTAAAGGGTAGGGTGACCGAATTCCTCAAGGTAGAAAACGGGACATCCCGGGGGAGGGGGGGGGGGGGGGGGGGGTTGTTAACAGAGATTCTACATGTGCGCTATACCCAGTAACTCAAAAAAATATTCCTACACACCTGTCTTCGCGAAAGAAAAAGTGTTTGTGGGCAAGAACAGTTCTAAATTTTACTCTCTGGGTAAATATTTTATAGTACCTACGGTTATTTTTGTGAAATGTACTTGTAACGAGTAGGATTAGTTTCGGTTTGCTTCAACTTGCTTGGTGCCAATGTCGAAACTATGCACTCCTGCGAAAGTGGGGCATGATTTTTTATTGGGACAAAAAGACGGGACGGCATAGGTGGACCTCAAAAACGGGACTGTCCCGGCCAAAATGGGACGTCTGGTCACCCTATGAAACGGCCGCTACAAAAAATGTTTTTTTTTTATACAGTCTGATTGGGACAGGTAAGTAAAAAAAATAACTTTAAGGTGAAAAAATTTTTTTAGCAATATTGACGGCGAGAGATACAGGTGAAAGTTTAGGCGCTAAATCCATGACGTCACGGAATGGTCATTCGCTCTTTCGACCTCAACGAGATGGTCATACACTCTCCCCCTTACCGTGATGTCCAAGCCTCTCGTCCACGCGCCCAAAATGCCGAGAGTGAAAAAAAGTGGAAAGGAGGTCAACTACCGACTAAATCGCGTCTCACGCCGTCAATACTGCTTTAAAACATTTTTTTTTCGCATAAAATTATTTTCTTTTTTTGACAGGCGTGTTACACCCGGGCTGTTTAAAACTTTTTTTTGTTATTTTTCTTTCTAGAGGTGCTTTAAGGCGAATTATTCGGAGCTTTAGTGCCGTGCCATCTAAAATTCATTCATAAAAAGAAAAAAAGCCGTTGTGCATGTAATATGGCATTTCTAGTCACATCTATGGTCCCTCAACACTAATCAGCTTGATACTTTTCTTTTTACCTCAAGTCCAATTATAAGTAGTTTCAAATTAAAATGCTCCCGTTTAAGTATAATGTTATATTAACAGACTAGCCTGGCAAAATTTCTAAGTGGACGCCCTATGTGTGTCTTACGCAGGCAGTTAGCGAAATGTATAAATTGTGAGTAAAGTTTTCGTTGTTTCTCTGCAGATGTGAACAGAGCCGGGCTGAACTGCGGCGGCGACCTGAGTGCCAAGCACCTAGACAACAAAGGAACGCTGGGCAGGTCGCACAGGAGCGACAACGAGAGGTGAGCCCCTGCTGTCTTTCCCCAATCCGTCGTCGACCGGGTGCTGCGTGGTAGACAAAGTATAGTAAGATGTGCACTCAGCGGTATTAGGAGCTGGCCCACTTTAGTGCAAGCTGAAAGTTCTGAAATTATGCGTGGGGGTGCCTCCGGTATGCTTAGCTGTGAAATTCACTACGGCAATGCGGCAATGGAAAACGCGGCTGTTCCTTCTAGCTTATTTATCTTTTTAATTGGGTGTATATCAAAACGTCCTATTCGCATTTGAACCTTGCACATTTCGACCCATTCTCATTTGGTCCTTCTCGTTTGAACCTTCTCATAAGATCCAAATCGTGTTTTTCGCAACTGGACCCATTCTCATTTCGACCGTTCGCACTACGACCGAATGACACTAGTTCGGCATGCTTTTAACGTCGTTATGCCTTCGCGGCTTTGTTGGTGGGCCTTACCTTGCTGGGGCCCCCAACATACCATCAGATATATGTTATGTGTAGAGGTACGCACTAAAAATCGTACATTGACGCCTGCTTTTCTTCCTCTACGCAAATGAGAAAAAAAAAAAAAAAAAAAAACGATGAACATTTAATTCGGAAACATTCATTGAACAGAAATAGCGTACATAACAGCAGTGGTTCTCAACCGTTCATATTTCGCGGACCCCCTGTAGAAACGCGGAGATGATGGAGGACCCCGTTCGGGGTGAGGGGAATAGAAAGGTATAGGCTTTCATGATAATGATTTAATTAATGAATATAACTAATTGCTAGTGTGAAGTCGACTTATCTCATTGACATACACACGAGAGTGCCCTCCCGAAAATTGGAACGTTTCTCCTTAACGTGAAGAAAGACAACTAATATGGCCGTGCTTGACTGATGAGACAGGGCTTCATAGAACCCTAGGATGCCTTCGCAGATCCCCTTTTGAAAACCACTGCATTATAGAAGTGGTGGCGTTGTCCCAAGTCGAGAGACCTCAAAGGACGTGACATTTCGGAATATGATCTGGCTGCGATAAATAGTTGGTCTGTTTTATTGCCAGCTAGTAGCTTTTCACGACGACCTCGACGCACTGATCCTTAGCAGAGAAAATGTGCCTGTAGTGTGGCACACACACACACACACACACAAATTATATCAATGTATTAATATTACCCTAAAAAAACGATTCAAGTGCGACGGGTCAAGGCGAGATATCTTTGAGAATGGCTGTATTGAAAAGGGCCAGGTGAAAAGGGCGAAACGAGAACGGTCCCAAATGAGGAGGGTTGTAATGCGAAAGACGAAACGGGAAAGGGCTAAATGCGACAAGTCCAAGAGAGAAGATCTTTTTGAGAATGGTTGTTTTGAGAAGGGCCAAGTGAGAAGGGCGAAACGAGAACGGGCTCAAATGATAACCACCCTTTTAATTAGTCTAACGTGTTTGACGTGACCTTAGCGCCACCCCGGTTTGAACTCATCTGGGAAAGATCATTATCTGTAAAATAGTCCTTTATTCAAGGATTGGGTAGTGCATGTTTACGGGTACATTATACGCCCAAAAGCTTTTTTCTTGGCATGTCACGGTAATCCACAGAAATAACTAGTGGTGCGCAAGATTGAATAAACAAGAAATCACGTTACCTCAAAGAGGTGCGGTCGTATTAGCAAAATAAAAAGAAAAACGCCAAAGAATATAAAGCAAAATAAATTTAGAATAACGCTCAAACACCGGTTATAGTTTTATGTATCTTTTTTTTTTTTTTTTTTGCTTTTTACAACAGCAAAAGTAAATAAACGGGACACTAAAAAAAATTGGGTCATTCATAAATAAGCGAGCTACCGCCACGATCGTTCGACATTACAGAGATGGTGTCTGTGGTAGAGGATAAGTTGATTAGCCTGTTTCTAACCGTAATGATCATATCTGAATACCTACTTTAGGCGCTATGAACGATGGTGTACGTTGAACACAAGAAAACGGCACAGCCCGCTGTTACCAAGTAACGAGCCATAATGTAGATTACATAATGCGGTCAGCAACAAACAAACAAACAAAAAATTCGTTGGCTATAGCCACGGTTCGTTGCACGGCGTAGTCTTCCACTCTTTTGGGCGGGCGGACGATATTAGCGGAACGAGCGTTGAAAACGAACTCCCGGCTATACCTCGTGGAAATTATCCGCTCGTCCGGGAACAAGCGGCGCTAATGAATATTCGGTGGGTGGCCTCTGGTGTGCACGCAGCGTGGCGCCCAAAGTGGGGTTGAACGAAGCCCCGTAAACCCGGGCCACGAGCAACGTGAGACTATGGCACCGTGGCCGGCGGGGAGCGTGCATGCGAGGCTGGACTCTTCCGAATGCAGCACGCGGCGTCTTCTCGCTTCGAGCGAGAGGCGAGCGCCATCGAAATTGGGGCTTATCGCTCGGTGGGTTTGTGTGGGCGAGCTAAAAGCTTTGGGTTGTTTTCTCCTCCCCCGGCGGTTCTGAGTCGGGGTCCCCACGCGTACCAGCGTTACGAGTCAGGCGTAAAGGGGGCACCTATTCGGGGGGTGGTCACCATTCGCGAAGTGACGGCTCGTGTGTTCTTTGGAGTTGCTATAGCAGTGTCCACCAGACTCACGCTCTTAAAGAACGACACAGAGAAACGCGCCTACAAACCTACAAAGTGCAGAGGTGCGTAAACGGGGGCACCACGTGATCATGCACAACTTGGGCAGCCCTTGCACTTCCCCCTGTGGGTCCCACCTCGGATAGACGGGGGCAGATGCGAATTCCACGGGAGTGGGTAGGCATGTCCAACTCGGGGTGCCCATGCAATACCTCTGCGGGTCCCACCTGGGCTCGGCATGGGTATGTAGCGAAAATGTGGGCTACAATGGGGCAAAGCGTGGGCAGGTCTAACCCGGGCTGCCCATGTCATACCACCGTAAATCCCACGTTGGGAGCGGACTAGATTATCAAAGATGTGGGCTCTAAGGGTGTTAAGCGGCGGCATGCTCAACTTGGACTGTCTGTGCAATTTTTAAAATTACACTCTACGTTGATATTGAGAATATTTAGTGCAAGTTTTGAGAATTTGAACATAGGGGAATCGGCTTAATTTGATACCAACTCACCGAGGATTTTAGGCTAAGCCACGAGAGAGGAAGTTTGGTTTTGCAAAACTTTATTACTAACTTACTACTCGGCGTGTATGTGAAGAAGGCCGTTTTACGTGCGGTGATTATTTTTACTCGCAGTTCCGCGTCTAAGGATGAACTCCATACGCACTCGACGGAATGCCGTTATCTCTTCTAAAATTCGGTGTCTGTAGCCTGCTCAAGGTGGCTATGTATGCGGATTTCCTGCATAATAGAAATTATGTGAAAATGTGCATTGTTTACCTGTTTCATTTCACACACTTGAAATATCCAATTTTTGATGGTCTTGCGCAGGTCGTTTTATTGCTATTTTAAAGCTTGCGAATTTATATAAATATCAAAATTATGGTAGAGTAATTTTTACAGCAGGCTCACTGGGAAGTGAGGCAGGCCTAATTTGGGATGCACTGCGATACCCCACGTCGCAGGAGGATGATAAAATGATGATAGACCTCACATCGCCTCCGGTATGATGAAATTACCCCGAACGGGATAAGGTTCCCCGAGGGACTTCGTCTGGGCTGCCCAAGTGGGCCCACCGTGGGTCCCATAAGGGAAGACCTTGTGGGCTGCCCACTTTGACCCTTTGTGGGCCCAACGAGGTGGCCCACGTGGGTTGCTCAGCTAGGCCCCCCTGAAACAAAGTTGTCTACGTTGTTAAATAAAGCATCAAATACAACCTTGTGATACTTAATGCACCTTCGTAAGCGAAAGAGGTCTCGGCACAGTTTATCGCCTTTATTCACTGCCTCCCATCCGGGTGTGTTCCTAGAAAAAGGACGGAAAAACAGAAGGACTGTGCTCCGAAATTTCATAGCCTGGATATGACACGTACGTAACAAAATACCCCCCCCCCCCCCGCCTCAAAAAAAAAAAAAAAGAAGATAACGATATTTTAGAGCAGGGTTTTTCAAACCCGGCCCGGGGTTAGCCGCGGTCTTTCCAGGATCGCCCGGCACTCGGTCCACTGTTACCAATGCAATTAAATAGGCGCGCGTAAAAAAGAAATGGCGCCGCGACACCCATTAAAAGCGCAAACGGAGATATCAGGGAAATAAAAGAAACCTGCAGTGCTCAGCGAACATTCGAATTTTAGAATAGTGGTTTCGAATAATACGCTATTCGATATTCGCTTGGAGATGAACTCCGATATTCGTATTTTTCGAAGTGTCGACCGCGGCGGGCTTGCCCTGTTGATAGTGCTTCTTACCGAGTACCGGTGCCCTGAGGACAAGCAACACCCGTGGAGCTCGGTCGCGCGGTTGTTGCTTCTCCGCAGTGCACCGGTGTTCGCTAAGAAGCCCGCTCAACGAGGCTAACCCGCCGCGATCGACACACATTTCGAAAAGTACAAATAGTGCAGTCCCGTTCTTACGAAGAAAGCTCACTTTCAAGACGGGATAGTGCACACGCACACGTCAATCTTGATGTCTACACTACAGTAAAATTTTCAAAATTAAACTGTGGCTATTATGCAAGAGCATATGTTAGCCAGATATGTCATGAAAACCTACGTTCATAATTCACGGTTGGCTTTTTTTCCTTAAAATTCTAGACTTAATAAAAATATTCGCATATAGGAAGAATATTTATAAATCCCCTCGATTATGTATAACCGGGCATCGCTATAGTGTTAATTCTATGTCCAATGCATCGTTTACTTACCATTTTCATGGAGGCAGTGCACTTCCTGATGTCACAGTCCATAAATATAGCTAGATTAAATTTAACTTAGCTTAGATATGAATAAGTGTAAGCTTGAGAACAACCTTTACGAGTTCAGATGGGTTTTCGGTTAAGCATGGTGCAGCAGTGAAAAGCTTGGCGAATCAATTTTTTGATATTCGATTAAAAATATTCAATCAAATTCACTATCAGTTAGTTCTCAGGGTCACACTTACCTTGTAATGTCATAAACAGTAAAATATTGCACTTAAAAATAAAGTATGTTTATTCGTCCACCTTACTTCTTCTAAATTTTGATATAGTTTGTATTTCTATATTTAAATGCTTATATAGGCTTATTTATTTAGTATTTCCTCGCTTATATTATATTATCTTATTTCCGGCCCTTGAGAATGCAACAGTTCTCCGGTCCGGCCCCCTTGCCAAAACGTTTGGCGCTTGCGCGAGGCAGCCATAACTTTAGTTCACAGGAGGCAGTGCGCAGAATTCCAGCGAGGTTGCCGCACGCGCAGAAAGACTAAAGTTCCCTCGATGCATTGCGGCAGCGATGGCGTAGTCAAACTGGCTGGTGAGATCGGTCTATTAGGGGCTTGTTGTAAACAGCCGCAACTGTATCTCTGACCGCAGAACCTCGGCTCTTCCTACGAAGGAATGCAGAGAAAGCTACGGGTAGCCAGGTCTACTATCGAGCCGCTAAGAAATCACATGGCCACCGATGTGTGTATCAGTGCGTGCGTGTGGGGCACTCGTACGCGCGTCGCTACTATGTACTACTCTCTGCTCGTAGAACCTGGAAATCGGCGGATTCGACTGCAGCCCATCTTAGAGTTAGACGAACTATACAAAAGATGTCGTGAAATATTTGAAAGATTATTTCTTTACGATTGTCCGGGATTCAGCAGAGCTGCCGATCGACAGGGTTTCTGGTTTGGTTTTTTGTTCCCTGCATAAGTTGCTGGCTTTTTTTTTTATGCAGTATCCTGTCGTAACTGTGCTGTTTCGGCATTGTACTATCTTTGATAATACGACTTAGTACTATCTTTGATAATACGAAGCAGCGGAGTATAATACAAGGTTGTATTTGATGTTCTCTTTATGATTATTGATTTCTTATGTGTCCAATAAAGGTTTTCCTACAAGAGATTGACGAGTAAGGCCTCTAAAACTTGTTTACCAAAAATAGCCCGTAATGAGGAATGTCTGTTTTGAAGGCCGCGACATGACCCTGCACATCATAGCTTGATACAGGAAAGTATCCTTAGAATTCTCATTTCAGCAGATCTCTTCAGGATGTGTCTAAAAAATTAATTATGATGGAAGCATATAGTCAAACTTCGTATTTATATAAGTTAAGCATATTTAAACAAAACAACCTATTACTTCTAATAAATATTATTGTTAAAAAAATAAAAGCCGTTTACAACTCCCTGTAACGCCGAATTAGAGCGCAGCTCTTGAGGAGGAGGAGGAAAGGGTACTGAGGAGAAGGTATACCCCTCCTCCTCCTTCTCCTCGCCTCATTACCGTGAGGTGACGTGACCCTCATGACCTCACGGGGGTCATGGAACGTCACCGGGGTCACGTGACTTCACTGGCGTCACTTGACTACACCGGGGGCACGTGACCTCATGGGGGTCACGTGACGTCACCGGGGTCACGTGACCTTACGGTTACGCCGAAAGGTCACATGGCGATGGCAACGCCGACGGCGACGCCGCTCAAGCCGGAAACGGGCGCCTAAGAGCTGCGCTCTGAAACAATTCGCCCCATGCCGTAAACGAGCTCTTGAATCTCAACGAAAATATGAACGAAAACCTGGCCCTCGGTTTTCCCTCTTCCAGAGTGTACTGCCAGCCCCAGGTGACGCACACGACCAACAGCTTTTCCGAGTCCAAGTCGGAGAAGGATTCGACGGACGCAGCCGTGGCTCCTTCGGCCCCGGGTTCCCACGGATCTACGTACAGCAACCCCCTGCCAGAGTTCGGAGGTGGGCCTTGCGCCAGTACTTCGAGGACTTGGAGCCGATTTTATTTCCTGCGTGTGTCAGGGTTTGGATTATCGTGTTTCCTAACCAGACCACCTGCACGCATTCACTTCTTGCAATTTTGGATTTGGTTTCCTTTCTTAATGGGCCACTTTGTCTTCTTGCTAAAATGTAAAAAAAAAAAAAAATAAATAAATAAAAGGTGCTGTGCTTAAACCGTTTAAGCATGATGTCTGCTAAATTATCAGACAGAAATTAAAAAAAAACACTAAAGGTAAAAAAAAAGCTTTTGTTGTTTTTGTAGCAGTTCAGCAGCCAAATTTATTGAGCAGCATGATACCCTCGATGTGAGTGATAATCGAGGCAAACGACCTAGTGAACCGAGTTGCCAGGACCGCCGTACGGTTTTGGTTTCACCTCATCTACATCAAAATAATTTGATAAGTTGCTCGACAAAAAAATTATATATATATATATATATATATATATATATATATATATATATATATATATATATATATATAATGTCGCGAAGGGTAAGTAGCGGTTGTGTTCTGTTTTTCCACCCGTGTTCCGTACGTTGCACTGTATATTATTTTTATCGCCGTCTTTTTAGCGCTTGTCTCGTCTGCTTCATCTACTGCTTCTGGTCATCTGCGCCATTTGTGTCTCGTTGCATTTATCTCAGTTGAAAATACGCCGCTCCCCTGGGATAGCTGCGTCATGCATGTAGGTCTGCGTCATGCCGACCCATATGCTCGACGCTATGTTTGAACAATGGTCGTTCGAGAACGGCGCTCGGTTTGAGGAGTAATGTTGCGGTGATCACACTTCTTGTAAAGTACCTCCCGTCCGGCAGCAACTCCCGAAAATCGGACCGTTCCGACCGATGAGGTTCTTCCGTCCCAGGAACTTTCAGGCTGAAGACTGTGGAACGAGAGTTGTACCCTCCGTCCACTGTTCCTTTTGAGAGCGAAATCTCTCACTAAAATGGACGGTTGCGCCCTTGGACAAACACCGAAAACAATTTGCGCAAAATACAGGGACAAGGCTGAGATACGAACAGGACGAGCGTTTAATGTATGAAAAGAGGAAGGCAAAAAAGAAAACGACAAGCCCTTTGCTTCAGCCCTTTTGTAAAATCACAGAAGGGTTGAAGCAAAGTTCGAGAAAAATCTATTTCTCTGGTTTGATACAAGAAATGGATGCACGTGACATGAATATGACTTTTTATCACTACCGTGTGCTTCTCGAGACTACCTTCTGCATCATTTTAAGAATGTCTCCGCTGTTTGAACAACAAGGCTTTTGAGGCCTCCTTGCTACATTGATGCTTTCTTTTTTACGAAGGAACACGACCTCATTGTTTGGTGTTCGTAGGAGACCAAAGAAGAGCCACCCGCTCTCATGAACCTCAAAGTGCTTGCAATGCTCGGCTTCACTAGAGTTTTTCATCTGGAGGATCAGCTATTGTTTTACAACTATAAATCTTAGGTGTTGCAATGATTTTTACATGACACTAGAAGCGGTCGCTACTTGTATTATCTTCGAAACATAAAAAAAGAGCTTGCTATATTTATACCCTTTTAATGAGCTCCTTGGTATACGAACAACTTTAAAGGTTCTTTGTAATCTGCTTTCTTCTCTTTCGTTTTTCTTCTTCCTTCCTTATACTTCGTTTAGGAATTTGGGGTGATGAGATGCGCCAAGAACGCAATGCGCTTTTTATTCTCAAAGGAATCGTAGCTCTTCCAAACAAGTGGAGGCTCACTGTATTTATCTGTACCAAATGAATTTACATCAAATGGCTTTTTAAGTGCAAACCCCTTATATGTACCATTCTGGTCACAGGGGTGGTCTCTGACACACACGACAGTCATTGTTTCCGCCCTTATAGGCGTTTCATCTCTCCGTTCTAACTTTGTCAAAGGTGCAACTGAAGACTTCACTATCCAGTGTGTCCACGTTGTCAAACTGCTGCCCTTGCAATGCATATTGCGTAGAATGAGGTGCAAGACGGCTTGAGTGTGCAATCGCTTCTGAGGGAGTTGGGCCGAGGTACCCTGGGGCCCAGCGAACAAGGTGGTCTGCTTCCGCAGGCACGCCGTGCTCGACGACGGGGCCGATGGTTCCCGTGCCCAGCTGCGTGAACCCGCAGCTGATCCAGCAGAGCTCGGCATGCGGCCAGGGAGCCCCGGCCCTGGGTCCCGGCTCGCACGCGACGGGGGCCCGGGCCTCGCTGGCCGCCACGTCGGCCTTCGCGTCCGCCGCTATGGCCACTTCCAGGTTCCACCTGCAGAAGGCGTGTGGAGGCCACCGATGCTCCTGGAAGTGGGCCACACTGCTCCTTACCTGTGTCGTCATCGTCCTGGCCGCCACGCTGGCCTACTTCGCCGGTGAGTCTTGCGTAACATAGTAAGCGTGAGTCCGACTTCCCTCGGAGGGGTTACATAAAGGTCTATATCCGGTATTTATGCTGGGTAGGGTTTGCTGTCGCCGGAACCGCCATCTCTTGTTCCTCGTCTTGTCGTAGCGCGAGCACATGCAATGGCGATAGTGCGGGAGTTCCTACGTCTGGTTCCAGAGGCCAGCGCGAGGCATAGATTGGACATGATTGCCGTGTCAGCGTTGGGCTGGGACCCTTGTTCAATCAATGGAGGCTCGAGTTCCAGCCTGGCGTAGAATTTGATTCCAATCCCCGAGATGGCCTCCTGTAGGGGAGTTATAAAAGCAAGGCACTACGGTCCGGTTATATAAGAAGCCTGACCGCGTTACCCAACATCTAAGCTGCACAGTAACAACGTTGTCCAAACGCAAAGGTAATGCTGGACTCGCGATCTGTGACGTTCAGGTTATGAGAGCTCTTAAATCCGGGGGCAACCGACGCTACGAGAAGACGGTGTCAATCATACAAACAGCGTCGAGGCATTTTATTTTGAACACAGAACGCATTTGCGTGCGGGGTTTGATTCGAAAAAAGTACCAGTTAAAGGTATACGTGCTCATAATTAGGCGTATGAAATTGTAGCAAGCTTGCTTTACCAAGCGACTCAGTGGGAATCGGGCCCCGGACAACGGCGAAAAGATGGAGACGCGTCGGAACAAAGCCAGAAAGGGGGTTCGAAATTCCCCTCGGGCTTCGCGCATCTCCCGGTGCGGCGCGCTGTCGTGTTGGGGATCGGCGCGCAGACGCGGTCGCGCTCCGCGCGGCCTTGAGAACGTGCGCAAAAATAATGACGGTGCGTGGAGCTCCTGTCACGTTGCGCCATCTCACGGCGTTTGTCAGAAACGGGAAGGAACTTTCGACGCACTAGCTCCTTGGCGAGGCGGCTGCGTTCAGGCACCTCTCTACTCTCCCGGCGGCCCGTGACATCTTTTGAGGTTATCGTAAGATGAAACAAAGTATAGAGGTGTACGCCACTGCTACGACTCGCCGACATCAGGTAGGGCTGCACGTAGACGTGAAATATTTTTGTCTCATTATTTTTGAGCTGTCTCCACGTCGCAGCCGTTTGTTTAGTCAAAACTGCGCCGTTGATGCCACCGCCGCGAATATTTAATCGACTTCACGCCGCCACCCCCAAGAAGCGGGGCGCCTTACATTTTATTATGTCGAACCGTTTTCTGACGAACCAGTAACCGCTGCATGAGATTACGGTTCCGTTCTGGTTCGGGTTCCATATTAAATGTTTAATTTCAGTTACGGGTTTCTTCCGGTTCGGTCAAAAATTACGGTTTCGCTCCGGTTTTAGGTTCCTGTATTGGTTCGGTTGGACACCCTGGTTTGTGTGAATCGATTATCGTTACAATATCTCCAGCCATCTACTAGAAGATAGTCAGCATGTAAGTGGAATCATGAATGTATTTTGCTTTTTTTTCTAGTCGGAAATTCTAACGAAATGTAGTTTTTAAGGTTCCAATAATAGAGCATTGCAAGACGTGATTATTTCACACAGTAGAAAAAAGCAGCCTCCCCAAGTCTGTCTCAGCTGGGTGTGATGTTGCTTCCCCTCACTGCATCTTATTATTCTTAGTCTAGTATATAGAAATTCAATAGACAAATGGCGTCAAAACGTATATTGAGACGCAGTCATATTAATTGCACAGCCTTTCTAGCGTCTCTAATTTATAGACTTGTTTGAAAGAAAGTCTGTAGACATTTATTTTTTAACTGACTGTATAGGAAGTTGAAATATTCGTTAAAGTGCGGATAGAATTCTTATATATTCCTTGATATTTGTTTTTTTCTTAGGGAAACGCCGTTTTGTTCTGACTATCTGGGATTAGGTTGCTTGTGCCCTTTTAGTGCGGAAGGGCGATTTCCCGGTAAATTTGTCGTCGTTGTCCGAGGGGAATGAGTGGACGACGTCCGCTCTATTGCAGCTGCCCTGAGCTCCTTGGGCGAGCGACCGGAGGCCAGCAAGTCCTGCATCCTGGTGGACGACGCGGCGAATGTGCAGAACATGGCCGCGGAAAGAGTCAGCCTCACAGTTAAAGGTGCACAACGAAATTCTCTCCCTAGGCAATATACGCTTATTTTCTGTTCACGAACAGTTACCATATCGCGTGTCCAATGCCGACACGAGGTTTGGGCATTGGGCGGGCGCGGAAACCAGCTTTGCGAAAGACGCCTGCCTTCAGCAGAGGCCTGATGTCAGAGAGGTCTGATCTCAGAGAGGCCTGATGTCAGAGAGGCCATATGTCAGAGGCCTGACGTCAGAGAGGCCTGATGTCAGAGGTGTGGTCTGTAGCCCAGTTTTAGAACGGCGAGTTGGGCTAGTTGGTTGTGCATGTTCGAAGTGAGGCGCCAAAACAACGAGGACACAAGGAGAGAAGCAGACAGGACGAGGCGTCAACTAGGCAATCCCCGTCTGCGTCAACAAGGCAATCCCCGTCTGGCCACTTGGCAGTACACTGTGATCGATGCGAGTGTGACCCAAAGTTTGACGAAACAAGAATTGTTGGGAGCGGCGCAACAAAAATCGCTCGCGAAATCTTGGAGGCCTTCACCATAAGATCTCGTGGCACCGATGTCTGTGTCAGCACCCCATCTTTATCTCTATCTGATAGGGAGTATACGTTCCTTCAAAATGAACGTGTCACGTAGGAAAACGCGCTAGGCTTCGTTCTAACTTTTTTTTTTTTATTCATGCGCACGTGTCCATGGGGCATAGCTTGCTTTTCTGTGTTTTTCTAAAATAAAGTTCAGTTGAAAGTGCGCCTCGTCCTGTCTGCTTCTCTCCTTGTGTCCTCGTTGCTTTGGCGCCTCATTTCAAGCCCAGTTTTGTTTTAGCTACCGACGCATTTTCTTCTTTTTTTTTTTTGCGATGTCTCGTCCCGTGCCAATATATCGTAATAGTGTTTACGCAGCATGCAGGAATTTTTTTTTTATACTCCGTTCGCCCTTAAGCTGAGACAAGAAGCTCCGCCTTTAACGCGAGATCGCGGGCTTCTTCAGTGCTTCAGTTGCGAGTTCCTGCGCGTTCACACTCGTTTTAGCAAGGAAAGAAAGCTCGCGCTGAAGGCAGAGCTTCTAGTCTCAGCTTAAAGACCGACGACCAGTTCGCGCGTTGCACTTTTCCCGCGCTTCCTCCTCCCCCCTTTTACCCTTTCCATCGTTGCCAGTTTCCTCCTCCCCCATGGTGAGGAGGATCTTCTGCCTTGCAGAAACTCGAGTATGGTCGTCGGCATTTAAGGGTGAACGGAGCATAGTGTGTTGCCTACAGCGGTGAAGTACGATTACGGCGCTTCGATCAAACGTGTTCAACAAAGCTAACAAAAAGACATGGACTGCAAAGCATTTCATTCACTGGTGTTCCCATTTATCCGCCAGTATCACCTGGGTGGGCAAGACAGATTGATGCGGCTCGAATTGGTCGCTGAAAAAACTCGAGCACCGCGTGAGTAGAATAATGGAGTAAAGGATTGCTTTATTAATGATTTAAATAATATGTTTAAAGGCTCAATTTTTAGTGTTTTCTTTAATACTTGGAATTCGAAATTGAATTTTCAGGAATTGGCGCACCTGAGAAAATAAATTTAACCGCTCTTTTGAATGTACTTGCAGTACGGCGGCGACTACGAGCTGGAGTGTTAAACTCCTATCACTTTGACATCGCTTCAAATTTACATTCGTCTTGATTTTGGCATTTTTGTGGGACGCACCCACTTTGCTTCCAGCCCTTCAATTGAACGGCTGAGATAAAGCACCCCTAGTCATATTACTGTGGCATGAGTAGGACGTATTTCAATTGGGCAGTCTGGTAAAGCGGCACGAATCTGTTTAATAGAACTGAATCAATCAACTGAATTCAGCCGTCTAGTGATAACACCGGCCCATATACTAATTTCTCGAGCTATGTTCCATCAATGTCTACCTCATTCTTGAGATTTCCGAGGTTCCCAGACTCTTCACTTTAGTGTCGAGGAACTGTGACGTACGTGGAAAGCGAAAAATAAGGGAAAACGGAGCTTCCCCTCTCCTCGTGCCTCTCTTCACCCAAGGCACTGTCCCTCGAAACGTGAGTGGATTAAGCCTCCGCTCTCGAAGAGCACCGGAGACGCTGGTCAGAGTCCGGCGCCGTCTGCTTCCACGTTGGCGCTTCGAGATATTGGGAAATGATTTAAAAGAAAGAAGAAAGAAAGAAAACCCCCGCTCAGGGTGTTGTACTTCTGCGAGGAAAGCGGCCACCCGGTGGGGGTTTAGTGTGTGAGACCCTTAGGTGTCTCGTCTGGGTCACGTGTACGCAGCCGCTGCCATCGACCGGAGGACCGCGAGGTGGAGGCAGCATCAAGGGGGGGGGGGGGGGGGGGGGGGGTGCTCGAGAGGGTTGCGTCAGAAAAGAAGGGGCAAACTCCGCAAGGAACGAAGCAGCTGGCCGACGAATTTGGTGGGGGGCCTAATTCCAGCCTGGCAACAGATGCACCGGCTCTCTGGCGTGCTCGGCTAGCTGACTTGCTTTTTGCTCTTTCTCTCTCTTTCGAGTGATTGGTTGCACGAGGAAAGGGAGCGGCTGCTTCGGGGTGGAAGGCAAACACAACGTGAAGAGAGAAAGGACTACGAGGCACTGCTATCGATTCTTCTTGACTGGCTTTGAATTTTGAGGGTATTAACGAAGTTTCTTTTCCCCGGGAGTGTGCACTTGCGGCAGCAGGCTTGTTCTCACGACGCTGATGGTGCGCGGATATTGGAGGGGTCTCGTCCAAGAGAAATACGCGGATATGGATTGAGGACAACACGCGGATTTTGCCTGGAAATCGTTGAGGGATTCAATGAGAGGGGGCAGGTGTTGTGCAGGGTGATGTCCAAACGTGTCGCCGTAGTAGCACTTTATCGCATGTCCTAGCCGGTCGATGACAGACCAAATATGGAGGTGCCATAGCTAGCGTCAAACATTTTCTAGATTCAGGTGCTCCTTTACTTCCGGCGTATTTTATATGGGCTTTCTGCCAGTGTTTAGGACTATACGAATGCCCGCTAGCGTGGGTTCTATAGAGCAATGCATTGCGCTTATGTTTCGTGAATGTGCCTGAGACCGCGAGATTGAGTTGGCAGAGCACGCGGCTACCAAGTGGGGGAGGAAGTTTGGAACTACACCAGCCTAGGTTAAATTTGAGCTTTCGCCACTTTTCTGGAACGTTCTAGTAGAATCCAGGATGTTATACCAGGGTTCTGTCTAGGATGTGCCCGACGATGTAAGTTTTATGAAAGGAGCAGTAGCTGGCTGCGTCCATCGGCCGCCCTCCCGTAGCCGACACATAATGTACGGGTTATTCTTGTTTGATTCCTTTTCAGGCACAGTTTGTATCCTTATATGGTTGAATCTAAGAATTGGACATAGATTTCTTTGGCCGGGGAAGAGTCTTTACAAAGGACGTCCGACCAAGCCCTAATTAGGGACTCAGCGTGGGCAAGGTGTTGTAATGGCTGACGTGGCGGTCGCGGTGAGTTCGTTCTTCGTTGTTGATCTGTAACGTAATCTTATGTGAGACAGCGACGACGACATGAAGGTGTCTGGATACTGCCCCTGAATGTGCTTTCCGAGTGGAATGTGCTGTGCATCAGGTGCGTCGTCGCGGATTTTGAGATCGGCATAGGACTACCCAGAAAGGTCGGTCACGGGGACGGCCTTCGAGTTTTTCTCAGTAACTCAGTTTTAGCGAAATATCGGCAATGTCTTCCGGGCCAGTATTCCGTTTGCCTTTGGGGTCTAAAACATACGGATGCACCCTGTCGAAGGAGGACTAATGTGTCCTTTTGCTCGGGCACGTCTCTCGCTTAGTCCCCGTCGAGTGCTGTTACTCCCCAGCTTTTGCGCATGGTATACCTAGTTCGAACCAGATGGTCTCTTCGGGGAATAAATGGGAGTTCAGAGGAGCAAATGATGCCGTTAGTCCTTTGAGACCATCTTTCTTAGACTGTACGACGCTGGCTTCTTGGTCATCTTTCGTCGCGTTGCGCCAAGACGAGTGTTGCTTTCGTCGTTTCCAAAGCTGCAAGTACTCCGTGCCTCCTTGCTTTCCCTTTGTTGCTCCTCCCGCCGGTTGTGGCCTTCTGCAATGCTGTGCATCTTGGCGGTTCACGCGCGTGACTGTCGCCAACTTCCGGCGACGTTCCGTGCGCTGGACCCCATCTTCGTCGCCAGTTCGATCTTCAACACTAGACAGAGCGTCGGTGGCAACAATATCAGCGAGCGCGCCGTGCGGACACCTACGTCATGCACGAAAACAGGCATACTTGCACACGTAATTATTACCTAAGAGATGTAAATATATTCTTCAAATATATTTGCAAGACTGTAGAAGAGATATTGACCGATAGTTCTTTAGCAAACTACGTTGGCACCCCTTGAAGAAAAGTTTTGCAATTGCAGTTTTCCATTCGATGGAAAGGGAGCGTGACTCGATTATTGTGGAGAACACAAGTATAAGTCTGATATTTATTTACCTGATATGTCCAGGCGTATCGCTACGCCACATTTCCTCCTAACCTCGTTATTTGTTTGTTCTGTGATCTAAGATTATTGACCTACTTGTTGTGAATAATTATTTGAGATTTGTGAATAATTACAATTTTCCTATTTCAATGGGAAAATGGAGCCCATTCTTGCTCGTTTTCGGTTTCTGGTTCCATAGAGCCCCATATGTTTGAAAACTCCGACGGCCGCCATTTTCTCATTGAAATTTTCAGAAAATCACTTATAACTTTTAATTAAGTTATCGGATCGGGCTGAAACTGTGGCATCTGGTTGTGACCTCTAGTGCTACCTTTGGGCGGAGAATGAGCGTTCGGTGATAATTTTTGCGGTAAAAGAGACCGTGCAAATTTTCTTTTGTGACACCCTGTTCAAGGACCGACGGCGTCGCTTCCAAGCTCTTTCTTATAGTTTCATAGCATGTCCCTTATTAAACATCCTAAATCTTCTTTTGTTTGTATTTTAATACAATTTATTTAGACTTAAAAAAAGACTGCTTTGACAATTGCAAAAAAAAAAAACAAAAAAAAAAACAATGTGAATGTCAGAATTTGACAGGGATTGGTGAAATATATGTCAGTTCTTAGTAGAATTATAGTCGTAAAATCTAAGGCGATCAACAATTTCAACAAAATGCTTTTTGTCGTGATACCCTAAATACGCATCTCCGGGAATTCCGCCTGAAATTCTTCGAAGTAGTGGTCTGGCAATTTCTGGGAAACAACTGCCGCCCTTGTTGTAAATGTTGTAACCAAAGTGTTTTTTCAGCGGCAGCGGCGATCTTTAAGGAGGCGTCAAGCCTAGTAGCGCGGTTCCATTTCTGCATGGCAATGCAGACGACGTTTAGGCTACATTACTCTGGGTCTGTTCGTTAAATTCCCCCGTTGTTGCTAATTATCGCTACACTGTCTCTCTCGAACATATAAAGAATAAAACAAATGTTTTCCCAGAGTCAGGAGAAAGTCCAAGAATGTTTATTGAATTCTGTCTAAAATAACTACGATGTCCCCATCTAAGATGCCCCCCCCCCCCCGGGCCCCCCCCCCCACACACACACACACCGTCGTGCGAATTATCGCTGCCCTGTCTCTCTCGAACAGATAAGCAATAAAACAAATGTTGTACCAGAGTCAGGAGAAAGTCCAAGAATGTTTATTGAATTCTCTCTAAAATAACTACGATGCCCCCATCCAATATGGCACCCCTGCCGTCCCCCCCCCCCCCCCTACACACACACACATACACAGAGTCTTCATCCTCCTCCGCCCCGGGCCAGCTAGGTGAAGAGGAGGTATTACCTGTCGAGCCAGAAGTCCCGAGAGCCGAGGTTTTGGGGAACCCGGGTCGGAGAAAGGTCCCGGCGACACGTCGGAACACTGTCGAGCCCGCTGGGCGATTCCGTTTCCCCAAAGTAGGAAAGAAAGACCTTCTCGCCTGCCGGTCGTTATTGCGTGTGAGCGGGGAGAACGGAAAAAAGCCCCCTCCGCCGCGCAAAACAAACAAACAAACAAACAAACAAACAAAATTGTATTTTTTGTTTACTGTGTGCGAAGAAACGAAAGCGATAAATGTACCACCGTCGCCCAATGCCGGTGGAATAGTGCCGTCAAGCACCTGAGGACGGAGGTGCGACGTGGTTAATTCTCATTGCCGCCGTGGCTGGCGTCGTGGATGCCACTGACGACCGCCAGCAATGATACGTGAAGTGGGAAAGCCCGGTGGAGGCTTGTAAAACCATCCAGCATTACGCGCAGGGGGTGAATACTGCCAAAATTTCGCATAACGCAAGTAATGCTTTTAAACGAGTCTTTCAAGCAGACGACACGATGAGTCGCCCTTCTATGCGCAATTCTTGACGGGAAGTCAAAACTACCCTCTTCGCTTGCCTGCGCTCGCTTTGCGCGGCACGGCGGACGGAGTCCCGACTTCTCTCTAGTCGCGGAAAGAGGGGAGAAATAAACGTTTCTCTCATTTTTCGCGCGTGCAGCGACGACAGGCGGACGAGGACAAAATCTCTACAAAGTGTCTCCTATAAAGCTATCCCTTTGATATCGCTTAAGAACAAGGGCCACCCAAGGCAGGTGGCCTTCACGTCCGAGGACAGAGCATCTAACTCGCGTCTCTCTCCACACGTCGTAGGTCCCAGCGTGCCATCTCCGGTGGGTGCGCCGTCGTCGTCGTCGTCTTCGGCGTCCCGGTCCTCTCTGCCGTCGTCGGCGGTCAAGCCGCCGTGCCGTCCCGTGCTGCCGGGCGAGGTGGACGCGTACGCTGAGGCCAAGCTGGGCGTTCGGCTGACCAGGCACCTGGACGCCCACGACGCCTGGAACCTCTGGTTCAACCAGCCGGACTCGGCCTTCGTGCGCTTCAACATCACGGCCCCACAGGGTGCCCGCCTAGCCCTGCTGGCCAGGAAGAACGAGCCGCCCTCGCTCACCGCCAGGGACCTCGTCGAGATCGTGGCCATGGAGCACAGAAGGCCCTACAAGCGGTCTGCCATTGTGAGTACACCTGGGCCCCGGGCTTATTCCCTTACTCGGTGCATCCTGAAAATTCAAGTGCACCCTGAAAATTCAAGTGTATAGTTTAAAGGGGGATACATTTTAGATCTAAAGCTAACAACAAAACCTTCCCAACTGACAGTACTGATCGTTTACGAAGACAAAACAAAAAAAAACGTAAACATAAAAAATGGTTGGTCTGAGTATAAGACTGCTAGAGTCATTCCTAAGTGCAAATGAGAAATTAGAGCACTTGTTTAATAATTCATTTATTCATACATGCTGCTGGCTCACATTTAGAGATGTAGCAGGCGTGGGTTTTACATAAACCGGGCGAGAACAAAAACACATTTGAAGTCGATTGTACAGAATGCAACGAAAACTGCAATCTACACTTTGGGGAAAAAAAGTACAGAAACGCCATTCCAAGACAAAGCACACATTGTTGGGCAAATACAGTGACAAATGAAAGCAGTGTCTTCCAAACAAGACAAGGTCACCTACGCCTACTATATTAGGAAGGGAAGGGGAGGGGGGGAAGCGGGTCATTTTATTCTATGGTGGTCTGTAGGGAAAAATAAAAAAAGAACACCGATAGGAAATACATGGCACGTATGGTGTAACAGTGACGATGCTCTGTTAGGAGTAGAAATGCATAATTTATGAAGACATGGATGGCTTCATAACTTATTTAGTATCAGCCGCCTTTGCACGTCTGGTCTTGACACTGGAGTCGAGCTGGGTCGAAATAAAACTACACAGGCACTTCAATGATCACGAACTGCCGTGTCGATTCCGTTCGTAGCTTTGTCAAGGGTATGCATCATTTATGAGCAGTGGCACGGCTACGCGTTATTGATTTGCTCCTGGTTTCAGAAAACCCAAGTGCATACAATAAACTTCGCTCCTAGCTATGCTCTCTTCTACCATGAGCGGTTACAAGAATATTTACTTTATTGTTGGCCGAATAATAATACTTCAAGCGTTACCTAGAATCGCAAGGCTTCTCTGAGAGATCGGTGTTGCACTTTCGTGCAGCACAGTTTTGAAAAGGTTGTGTCGGCTGGGAATCGTTTTATGTAGTTCAGAAGCGTATACCAGTTACAGTGAAGGTATTTTCGCTTAATGTTAAACTGCGTGCGGCATCGAAGGGGCACCTGTTATTATTTGCAATAGCAAGAAGGCAGATAATGAGGATATATACTGCAAAACAATAAGGAAGTACAACCAACTAGCCCGTCAGATCATCTTAATGCAAGAGGAAAGATATGGTGATTTCAGTTCCACAGCTCGCGATATATTTTCCCGAAACAGTGCACTGTCTGAAACGGGTTTTCTATGTCAGAGTTTCACGTCTGTTGCATTTGAACTTGATCTTGTTCTTTCAACTTAATCGAATGAATGTATGAGCCAAGAGCTCTAACAAAAGGCAATCTGTTGCATTTTTTTTTTCTTTTGTCATCCGTCCCGAGAGTGGACTTGGGAAGACGTCAGTTGAACACTCTAAAACTAAAGTTCCTACAAAACTCTGCGCTTTTGTTCCCGCATGACAGACATCTTTGTTCTGAATTCTCGAAATAATTGCGACGTGCTCAACAGCAGCCTTCAATAGAATTCAGGGGAAGTTTTGTTTGTACCTTGCGCGTCCAAACAAATAAAGGATAACTTTGAGGGTTCCCGCTAGCCTCAATAACACGCCTCCTCTCTACCGCTCCAAACGGCTAAGGATCCAACAGTTCGTCGCCCCCATTGGAGAGCTCGAAGACGGTCGCGGGCTCGATCAATAGCGGGCTGTCAGCGCAGACAGGGGCCCAGCCGTGCTACGGGTGGAGGCAGGTGTCTCGGTCGTTCCGCTGTCCAAACCTCGTTTTCCCCTCGATGTAAGCCGCTCGAAGAGGAGCACCTCGGGGCTGGACCCCGCTGGAGATGAATCGATGGCATCTTCCACTTCACGATGGAGACGATCCTCTGTAAAAATTATACCCTTACTGATATGTTTGGGCGACTTTCTTGTTCCACGATTGTGAGAGAAATTAGTAGGTGTGAGTAGTTTTGTTCGTATACATTTGGACGTGTGAGTTTTTGTTAAACAAGAAATGAACATAAAACTGTTTGGACATAAACAGGACGAAGAATCCTTGGGTTCAGTGTGAGAAGGGCGCTTCCGGTCGGCGGGTCGTTCGTGTCACGCATGACAAATGCCACGCGGAAGATTTATTGACCATCGAAAGTTGAGGATTAGAGCGCCAACGTCATCCCGGTCCAGACCTAGAAGTCCACAAAAGGGACTTATAACATTGGCAGGTAAAGTGTTAAACAGAAAGAGAAATAGTGCACAAAGGTAAATAACATCAAGAGAGTTGTAAATGAGACAATCCGGACAAAAGCAATATTACCCAAGCTTCTTTGTAGCTTGGTAGTAGGTCTAAAAAGAATTGCGACTATTTATACATACATACATATATATATATATATATATATATATATATATATATATATATATATATATATATATATATACAGTAAGAATGGGTTACTTTAAGTGGTCTTTTGTTACTCAAGACTATCTAGTAGAAATCGGGGTGCGAAGTGCAGGATCAACCTGGTAGCCTTGTTTATGCATCACGTTTTTATCAATGCGTTTTTTTTTTCTTGTTTTTATTCTTAGTAGGAATGAGTGTGTTTCGGTTGTCCGTCTAGAACAGGTCGGAGTGCGAAGTGCAGGGTCTACCTGGCAGCTTTTTTGGTGCACCACGTTTAGAAACATTGTTTCCTGGGATTGTGAACGCTTGAGATAGTAGAAGCAAAGCAGTTCAAAAGCGTTTGTCCAATCTAAGGTTGGTTGTGCTTTTCAGTTTCTTTGTGTCTTTCTTTGTGTGTGAATATGAGTTCTGTCCGTGTCCTTGAAAACCGGATGTTCTTCTGTGTAGATATGTCTATATGAGCAGGATGAATAAAATCATTAGCTGAGTTAGGGCTGTTGTCTGTTGTTAGTTTTTTTTTTTTTCTACCACTGTCAAAAAAGTTTTCCTTCTGCCAAGTCTTGAGATAGTTATTTATTTATTTTAAATGGGTCAAGGCTACGAGGGCATTTTCATCATAATATACTACAGCAAGAAGAAGAAAACTCAGCACCAAGGGTTACAGAACATTAACCCAACCCTCCATAGTTACGCAAAAAAAAGGAAAACAACATATACCAGCGCAAGCGCCAGTTCATGTCAAGAACTGCCTTCCATAACACGAAATAGGTAGTCATGTCTGGTTTACTTTAACCCCGTCAACGTCGGTTTGCGGTTCATCCACTGGAGCCGCAAAACGACGGAAACTTGGAAACATCCGAGAAGCAGCGAGTCACCACACGAAAAAGAAATCGCCGCCATTGAAAGTGGCTCCGTTGACGCATCAACCCCGAGTGCAAAAGGAATCTAAGACAACTAACGTATAGTTTTTTTTACTAGTTGCCATAAGCGTCACTTCCGCTCAATAACGACTTTATTTTTTACCAAAAGCAACATTATTGGCGAAAGTAATATCCAGAAAAAAAGCCGTACAATTTGTTTTTTTTTTTCCTTGCAACGAACAGTACAAGCCTCTACTATGTGTTTGTCTGTTAGGACGGAATGCAGGATACGCTCTCAAAATATAGCTGAGGCAACTATGTTGAGAGCATCAATACCAGAAGCGCAAGGTTCCATCTAAAGAGACTCTATCGTCGTGCTCTTCTAGCACGCTCCCAATGTGCGCAAAGAAAATATATTGTGAAATTATTTCTGCTACATGCGTACTATTTATAAATACGCCAATAAAGATCAAAACACTTCAATGTATGATGGGGCGCTGCTAGGGCAGAGAATGAAAATAAAGATAATTTTAATCCTGGTTGAAATCATGATTTGAAGTGTGATTGAAATCAGACCAGTTTTTCACTGATGATTTACAACAAATCTTTCCCGCAAAAAGAATCCTGCAAAAAAACATTTTTTTTACCGGTTTTTTTTATCATTTGATGTTTTCTATGCGGATTTGTTTTGTACTGAAATCAAACGACAATCAAGCAAGAAAGATTTATGTCTGTTTTTAACACGAGCAGAAAGAAGCGTTGTGAGAAAATCGGAACACCTTGCACTTCGTCAAGTACATAACTTCCTATCGCAAGCAAATGAGAACGCGAAAGAAAAACACATAAGGAATTTTAGCGAAGTAAAAAAATAAAGCTGTTTTTTTTTTGTTCTGTACGGTGGACGTTACATCATTAGAAAGTTTTTAATTAAACTGTAGTTTAAATTGACAGCAATTCTTTGTTCCTCACTGTTAGCAGCGATCAGACGGATTGAACAATCTGCCACGTTTAAAAATAAATACACTGTTAAAGAGTCACTGCTTTCTATAATACAGTGATTTAAATAAAATTAATCTGATTTAAATCAAATTATAATTGTTTAAATCAAATAAATCTCATTTTTTTGAATAATAAAAAAATAGATGACTCTTTATTACCCTGGGCGCTACTGAGTATGCAATGATTTAAATTTATAGAATAATGATCACCGTGGTGCTTCTGTTATAAAAAGGAATTAATATATGACTTTTAAGGACTTTTATTTTTGTCTTTTTGACATTCATGCCGTACTCGCTTAGATGGCCAGGTCCTGCTTACAACCATGCCAATGCTTGTGTGGGTAATGCACTATGTAGCAATTGGCTTCGAAAAAAAAAAAAAAACCCATTAAGATTATTATTTTAATTACGCTTCAGTATTTAATTTTTAGGCGCAATATTGCTTCTTTATTTCACAGCTTTCTTTTACATTAATTTCAGCGTGCGTGAATCGCGTAACGCTTGGTTCGTCGTCTATTTATCTCATCTAAAATGTAGGACACTTTATATTAAAAAAAAAGGACATATCGTGGTGTTTTTGGCAAATGTTTAATTGAGCGGACTCTTTTTTTTTTTTTTCGACGCAGCTGGAGGAGGCTGAATTCATCCATTTCCTGGAGCCCGGAACATGGTACCTGTCTCTGATCAACGACGACTCCCTGCCCACCTCCGTCGCCTTCCATCCTGCCATCGCAAGTAAGCGTGCAAGGAGCCCACGAGATGCACCTGTAGATCGGCTGATCTTGGCGTGGTCGTCAATACTTGAACCACCTCGTCAAACACGTACAGTGTCGTGAGAGTGCGACACGCAACGTTAAAAGCCGTTTTAAGCGACGTAAATATGGGAGCTATACTTCTTGGGAACGAACGAAACGAAACGCAGAAACAAGTGAATTCTCACGTTGGAGGAAAAATAGGTAGCTGCAGGCTGGCTACCATGGCAACGGACATGTCTAAGGGACGTCATGTTCGTTCCGCGCGTTACGCTGTACATTCTACCGGCTCAGTGCCTAGTCGCACGCGAATCTTTAAAAGGCGAAAGGCGAATTGCCCTCGAGGGGCGGTGCACCGACTTTTATACTTTGCGCGAATACCGCTTAGAATGGATCCATGGCGTTTATATAACCCATGAAACGCGCTAGATGTTCTCCCCGCGCAACAACAGTCGCGGCAAAAAAATAAAAAAAAAAGAGCGGCGTTCATTGCCTCAACTTGCAGCCAGAGTAAGGGGTTACGTGGTGTGGAGCCATAAATGTGCCGTTAGTGTTTATCATAGCCACGCACTGGGGTTGGCAGAGCACGGGACAAGCGAGGAGTTCCAGACATTGTTAGGGTCCGGCTATTGTCGTCATTGCGACGAATGGACTCGAGCCACTAACCAAATTCTTGTGGAGCTATTGGTTGACGCTAGCCGAATTCTTGTCGAGCTGTTAGAGTGCATGAGAGAGGCAGGAAATGAGACAAGCATCACTAATCGTCGGCCGAGACAGCAATCGAAAGCAGATAAGAAATTACCGCATGCAAGTGATGTTTTGGTATTGCGCGTTGCTCAGTCAGTGTTGCTTAGAAAAAGGTAGACTACGAACGGCGCTCTGAGAAGCTGGTGATCGCAATTTTGATTTCGGCTTTAGTAGAGGGATTGCGGCGTTCCTCATATATGCAAGTGGGGTTACAAAGAAACATATTTCCAGCATGCCATACGATATTGTGCATAGATCAAATTTTCGTATAATAGACGTATAAGCACATACAATTACCACATACGTTTTCGAAGCTGACGGCAGCCGGTACCTTCGAAGTTGGAACCAAATAAACTTTACAAGGAGAGCTTCGAAAAAAAAGTTTATTCTGAAGCTACTGTCGAGACGTTTTATAACGAAGTCAATGGGAATCGGAAATCCCTTCGCTATATCTGCTATCTCGTTATAACCGACTTCGGTTATAACGAAAGGCAAAAGAGAATGGGAAATCGTGATCGCTTCGCTATATCTGCTATTTCGTTATAACCTACTTCGTTATAACTGGTCTCGGGTATTGTGAATTGTTTCTCCGGTAGCTCTTGTCGCGCGTCCTCCCGGTGTTTAATCGCGTGAGCGTTTATTATTTTTTCCCCCCGCAGGAGACGTGCCAACATCTTGTCCCAACAACTGCCATGGCCACGGTAACTGCCACCTCGGGAAGTGCCACTGCTTCCCCGGCTACATTGGCTTGGACTGCGCCGATAGTGAGTCCCCGTTCGGATACGTATAATTCATCTTGGACGCTTGACCGTTTGGTGGGGCCGCACTCGTAGACGACATGGCGTTCCGAAAGCATCTCTCGTTTCCGACCACGTCCCTCTAAGGCGGGCAGATCTCCCGTAGGCGGGCTCAATTCATGGCACAGGTGCCCGGAATCTGTCCATGTCTCGGTCGGCATGTTGCGTTGCTGAGACTTCCGTCGTTTGCCAGAGGATCGTGCGGCTAAGGTGAGCCAGTTGCCCTACGTTGGCACGGCGCAGAAACCTCCCGATCGGTACTCGAGGTAGAACATGTAAGGAACGCGGCTCTACTCATACTACGAGAACCGGTTGTAAACACTGGTGGCCTGTACTTTCAGTTATTTTGTCACAAATACAAAATGTTAAAGACGTGCTCCGTCTACAAGACTAAAGATTCGCTCAGGCCGTGTTCCAAAATTTACTCGATCTTTCTCCAGGGTAAGGGCTTTGTACCTTGGCGTTCTAAAACCTACCCGCTTCCAGCGTTTTTTCAATCTGTGTTTTCACGTGACATGACCATCCGGAGTAACGGGATCCATTTGGGCAATATTTGAAACACACAGCCTCAGTGAACCGTGTGTGGACAGCATTAAACCCAGTTTAGATAGATCAAAGCGGTCACATAATCGGTATCGTTACAAAATACCGACCCGATCGTTCCTGCTAAAAATACGTACGGCACAAAAAAAAAAAAAAAAAAAAAAAAAAAAAAAAAAAAAAGGTTGACGCTGTAATTGTGTTTGCTAACGGGCGAACAAGCAAAATAGGAACCTCCAGCATATAAAGGTTATTAATTACTCTAGTCTAGAGCCATGCAATTTACTTAATAATATTCAAATATATGGCTTAAATTAGAAACTTTCTAGCCTCCTCTAGAACTACTAAATCAGCACACATTACAAAATATGGGGCATTTAAAACACTTTGCAGCTTAAAAAAAACAAAAAAAAACACATTTAATTTGAACGTGTTATTGAGCTCGTGTATCAGAAGGCGTATCTGCGCCAACAGCCCTGCTCCCCGTGGCCACGGGCGGTGGTTGTCGTGGTGTAGTATTTACTTCCGCTGAAATTAAAGAGAGGCAGATTTTGGGAATACTCGGCGATTTCTTCCGATGAAGTGCCTTGGAGCGCCCGGTCGGAAGGGCGCCTGCATAGGGAGGACGTGCAGAGAGTGCGTACGCTCTTCGCAGGCGTGTGCCCCGTGCTGTGCAGCGGACACGGCCGCTTCGTGCAAGGCTCGTGCCGCTGCGAGGCCGGCTGGAAGGGCGCCGAGTGCGGCGTCCGGGACGACGACTGCGAGGCGGCCGACTGCAGCGGCCACGGGGCCTGCGTCCAGGGCCACTGCGCCTGCCAGCCGGGATACGCCGGAGAACAGTGCGACAGGGGTGAGCACTCGCTGCGCCGTCCGGACTCTCGCTGGCGGAAACGGGCATTATCATAGCCTCCTCTATACTCACGAAGCATGGCGGTTCGATGGCGGAGCCGTAGATTGCCCGCGGTTGCAGATTTGGAGCACGAGGATCTGGTAACAAAGAGCATCAAAGAGCGATTCCCCGGGGAACCTGGACGTCAGCGCACAGCTTTTGCAGCGGCGAGAACACGAAACACACTTGTTCACTCGGGAGAAGCGTGTTTCGGCGCCTCGCCGCAGCGGGGCGCCAGTCACGTGGCTCTCCTCTCATCCGTTGTCTGCCGCTCCACCTCTTCCATTTCGGCGGCCGCTTCTCGTGGCGATCTGCCAGGCTTCGTCAGTATATAGGAGGCTATGGCAATATTCTCCTCGTGGCTATGGATTGGCACTTCGGCCTTCTTATCCGCCGAAGCCGTAATTTCGTTGGATGAGGAGCGCTAAAATAATCTTCGGTGATTATAGACCAACTCGACTCACATACGTCACGCGACTGCGGTGCCGCTGCTGTCGGTACTGCGCGTGCGCAAACGCTTCACTCCTCCCGCGTTTGGTTTCTGCGCACGCCCAGTGCCCGCACCTGGTGCGGGCAAAGCGGGCTTGTTTGAAAACGCTATGTTGGTGTATAGACTTCCTAGCTGTCCGATTTCGGATAAGCCATGTTTGGGCCGCTCGTGGATCTATACTCCGCGACAACTTTTCTTGGCAATGCAGTGGAAGGTACAGGCCCGCGTCCCCTCTCCCATTTTGAGTGTGCGCAAGAGAGCCTTCGTACACTCAGAATGGGAGCGGGGACGCGGGCCTGTACTTTCCACTGCATTGCCAAGAAAAGTTGTCGCGGAGTATAGTGGATCCACGAGCGCCCAGCGTGGATCGTGCACATCGGCAGATCGGTTACAAAGATGATTTCCAACTCGGAGTCGTGTTATTGTGGCTAAAGTGGGTGACAGCGACGCACGAACCAGGTTCTGAGCTCTATACACCAACTCAGCTCTCTTACTTCACGGCCGGCGGTGGTGCTCGGGAGCGGCTCTTTGCAATGTGCCCCCCCCCCCCCCCCCTAAAAAAAAGAAGAAAAAAAAGTTAGGTGCGGGCGGGTTTTTGCTTTGTTGTTTTGGTGTATTACTTCTTTTTATACAGGGTGTCACAAATGAAAATTTACACGATCTTTTTTACCGCAAAAATAAACTAGGCATCGCCGAACGCTCATTCTCCGCCCAAAGGTAAAGATAGGGGTCACAACCAGATGCCAAAGTTTCAGCCCGATCCGATAATTTAATCAAAAGTTATAACTGATTTTCTGAAAATTTCAATGGGAAAATGGAGCCCATTTTTGCCCGTTTTCGGTTTCTGGTGCCATAGAGCCCCATGTGTTCAAAAACTCCGTCGGCCGCCATTTTCCCATTGAAATTTTCAGAAAATCATTTATAACTTTTGATTAAGTTATCGGATCGGGCTGAAACTTTGGCATCTGGTTGTGACCTCTAGCTCTACCTTTGGGCGGAGAATGAGCGTTCGGCGATGCCTAGTTTATTTTTGCGGTAAAAAAGACCGTGTAAATTTTCATTAGTGACACCCTGTACTTCTGTAATTTCTCAAAATACTGCGCTAGGGCTCGTCTGTGCCGCTCTCGCAACACATTTTCTTATAACCAAGGAATTTTACCCAAGGAATTTGTTACAAACTTTGAATTAACTATTGTTTAAAAAATCTCGCAATTTCAGGGCCCAGTGACATCATGCTCGATAGTGAAGAGACTGTGGTATATTTATTATGGGTAATTAATGTCGTAATTTCGCGTTGACAATGCAGCTTTAATTGGACACACCAAACATTATATCAAAGTAAGGGACGCATGAAGTATGATGCCGGGAGCGCGTCTCCGGCCGGTCTACGTAGCACGCCCTTAGAAGTGGTCATTCGATACCCGCCGGATGACTTGATATAAGGGCGCCCGTTTCCGGCTTGAGCGGCGTCGGCGTCGCCGTCGGCGTAACCGCGCGGTGCATTATGGGACGCGTGACGTCATCGGATCGTCATCGTCAGTGATGACGTCATCGGATCGTCATCGTCAGTGATGACGTCATCAGTGACGTCGCTGATGACGTCATTGGCATCTTCCTCGTCACTAATGACGTCATCACTGACGTCACAGATGACGTCATTGATATCCGCATCGTCATCGTCACTGATGACGTCATCGTCACTGGGGTCACGTGACCCTCGTGAAACGACGGTGACGCCGCTCAGAGGGAGGAGTAGCAGACAGGATGAGGAGGTGAGGAGGAGGGAGGAAGGATATACCTTCCCTTTAGTATCCTTTCCCTCCTCCTCCTCAAGAACTGCGCTCTAATCCGGCGTTACAGGGAGTTGTAAACGGCTTTCATTTTTTTTTTTTATCATGGTCATCCGGCGCAATCCTGACGGTGGCAGAGCACGGAGGCATTGGTTCGCAGACGTACGTGTTTCAAATGCCAAAAGCATCGCTTGTTTCTCCGACAACCAAATATTGTAAGAACTTGAGGCTAAGACGAGTATCGTCGGCTGACCCGCCCGCTCCTTCCCGTCGCTCTTGCCAGTGGACTGCCTGGACCCGGAGTGCGGGTCCCACGGCGCGTGCGTGGACGGCCACTGCCTGTGCAAGATCGGCTGGCGGGGAGCCAACTGCAGCCAGCCGGACGAGCGGTTGAGCCGCTGCTTTCCAGACTGCTCCTCCCACGGGGTCTTCGACCTGGACCAAGAAGCCTGCGTCTGCTTCGACCACTGGACCGGCGAGGACTGCGCGAGGGGTGCGTGGACGAGGATTCTCTCGGCCCTGCGAGAAAGTTATATATCTCGCCTAGAGAGACACTGACGGCTTGAGAAACGTGGAGCGCGACGAGACCCCTAAATAGGGAGTGTTTTTGTTTTGTTTTCCTTAGACCGTTTATGCCGTCCCGCAATGCCCTTCGCAACCCGCTGCGAGATCCGGGTTTCTTCGGTAAGCGGCTCGCAGGCGCAGTATCTTTGTTGCGGCTAGCTTAGCGCACGATGGAAAGTGGTTGATCTACGAAAACTCCCTAATAGGAAGTTTTCGTAGATCATTTTCGCCGACTGGCAACGCTCTCCGCAACCCGCTACGATACCAGAAACTCTACAATCTACAGTAAAGGCCATCGGCGCGCAGGCGCAGTAGCGACTTCTTCGTTGCGGAGGGCTTGGCGGAGGGGGAAACGCGGTCTACGAACACTCCCTAATACCCCTGCAGAGCCCATCAGGTTGCGGAATTACTCGATAAGAACGCCGGGTCGCGAGGCAAGAAGCGTGAGCTTATTAAGTCTTGCGGGACATCACGTGACCACATGTCACGTGACTCAGCCGGCAATCTGAATTCTCCTCTAAATTTAGCGGGAAAATTAACGTCACATGCCCTACGTACCAGTTCAGCCTTCCCGGTAAATATAGCGGGGAAACGAACGTCACGTGATCTGATGTCACATGTTTGCCAAGCAATTTCCCATACAATTTGTATTTACAGATTTGTTATAAAAAGTTGTAAAGGCTACACTAATGTGGTCTTTGCGTGTCAATTATATGACCGGGGAGACATATTATATAGAGATAATCGTCACGGTAAGTCGGATGATTAACTAAAATTTGTTAATTGTCTTTTCAAAATAGTGAAAGTAGACACATGGCTTCAATGAGAAACTTGCTGAGCCTTATCGAAAACCTTTGCACGAGTAAAATTAACAAAGATTTGGGGCGCGTGAGAGTCGCGATAATGTGCTAAGGTTACTACTTCTAACGATCACAACGCTGGTGGTGCGAAAACTTGGACGATAAAAGACGGAAACACCGCGCGGGCGCGTTTTCACACCGCTCTTAGCGGCGAGATGTTTCGGTGGCGCCCTCGTTCGGTTACCTTTCGTGATGTCATTACCTTGGGAACAACAGCTTCGATGGTGTTTGTAATGGGCACGGTGGAAGCCTGAAATCATAGCGCTCTCATAGCAACACTGCCAACACCATCAAAATTGAAGTTCTTCCATTCCTCTTATTTCCGTCGACGAGACATCCTTTGCTGGCGTCATAGTCAGCATTCGGCCAATTGTGGTGGTCCGACCCCAGCGACGCTTTCGATCGCTCACGTCGCCACTTGCGCCCGCAGCACGAGTGGTACCGCTAGAGCTCCATTGCGCTTCTCGCCCGCCCCAAATCATTCTAAACTTTACTGATGTAGTGGTTTTTGATGACACTGGGCAAGTTTCCGATTAGAAACAGGTCTTCATCTTCAATCATTAGAAATTTAATTAACACATTTTAGTTAGGTGATCAACCTATTTTGACCATTATTCACCCACATTTTGTCCCCCTGACCGTAAAACACACCTACATAAATTGCATTAGCGTAACTTTCTTTTTTAAAACAAATATGTAAAGCCTTAAAAAAATACATGTATGCTTTAAATAGTGCGACATAGACCTATTGTTGTGCGCGCCAAAAGAAAAAATTGGAATATTGGTGAACTGGTCAAATCTTGCACCGCCCAGCTAAGATTGTGCGGCTTTCGTGACCTGGCTGCATGCGCGACGCTGTTGCGCGAGCCACAAAGGCAGAAGCGGTCCGGGGAGCTGTGAGAGCTACCCGTCGAGTTTCTGTCCTGGTTGAGGTCCCATCCGCCGCCTCAACTTTCTTTGCGACACAATTGCGAGACACTGGGGTATCTGCCTACCAGGGTTCAAGGACGCAACCACCTGTGCGTCGTAGGTACGAGTACACATGCTGGAGTGGTCGCTGAAAAGGTCACCCCCAGCGCAATTGTAACTTCCGCGGTAGCGAGGAACGGCTAAAAGGAAAACGCTCGAGGTGCACCTAAGCACTTCTTACGAGTTGTGAATGCGAAAGCACACACGCCGCTCTTCGCTCCCTTTAATCTGCGGCGTATGTACAACGCGCTGACCTTGGGCGTGGAACGGTGGAGCCGCTGCCTCGCGGACGCGCAGCGCCATCGGGTGAGCGATTGTTCAAACTGTCGTATGCCTTGCGGGGCGAGGAAGGAACAGACAGCAAACAACGTAGTTCCCAGCAGAACGAACCCTTTGGTTGTTTTCCATGCGCCGTATATATTGCCACGTGCCGCATAACCGAAAAGAGGCGAGCGAACGTGGTGATCAGTGATAACGCAACAGTGTGATAACAGAGTTAGGATAACACCACAAAAACTGACGCGCAGCGTCCAATGGGGGCCTCGTCGACGCGCGCCAGCCAATGGGACCGAAGTGTAAAAGGTCCTGTTGGCTAGCTTTGCGCGTGGTTTCATTAAGGTGCCGTTTTGCATGGTTTCAAAGCAGATGACGTCGGCTCGCTCCATGAGACAGTTAATGCTTCCGCATTAATAAATTGCTTTCTCCCAGAAGACGAGTGTCAGCCGAGCTTACCGACTAAATTATGGCTCAAATCAAAAACAAACACCCGGTAACTGTATTCGAGGTCCATAAGGTGCACGCCGATGAAGATGCACTTCTTTGCATATGGACCGCTCGAAGGTATTCCTTGCAGTATGCTGGTGGACACAGGGGCAAACGTCTGCTTAGTGAGGGCTGATATATTTTACCAAACAAACGTGTCCCTTGAGTAGTAGAAACGTCCCGCTGGACGCTCATTGCGTAGGGCCACTGGCGATTTAAGACCTGTCACGGCGTCAGTGCAACTCACGTTCCGCTTCAGCACTCAAGAATTCTTGCACATAAATTACGTAGGAGATATATTTGAAAAATGTATCAGTGGTCTTGTATCTTTGAAAGCAAACGATTGCTCGATGGATCAATAGAGTGAGGCCTAAATCTAAATGAGTAAAACATCATTTTGTGCAGCCGACGAGCGCTTCTGGAAATTACTGGGTGTATTCCTCCTCCACTCCACATCAGCTGTTTTTCCCCACAATCCGAAGTCGTCGTTTGGATGAATGGTGGCAATAGTTGCTCTGAAGGTATCGCGGTCCCTGAAAAAAACGACGCGTGTGACAATATCCCAGTCATTAGAACTGGAAAAACGCCGATGAATTTCGCCAATGAACACGTCCCTAGGCGCATTAACTTAACGGATAAAGCGGTACACGTCAAGCAATGTTGTTGAATAGCAACTTGATTCTACATTGTGAGCCTCGGTAGCAAGACCACTGAAACCGCCAACGTTGAACAACGGGAGTTGACAGTGTTTTTGCCGGAGCTAGCGCAGTGCTCCAAGTACCACGTCAGTCAACCTCAACAAGAGTCACTCTTGAATTTGATCAGCGTCTACGGAGATATCTTCGCTGACCAGCACGTAGATACTCGTGACGCTATTCCAATCAAGCAACCACCTCGGACACTTCCGCTCGCAGAAAGAAATCAGGCCACCGATGTAATCCAGGAACTGCGAAAACAGGACGCCATTAAGCCTTCATCCCATTCATGTGTTTCACTGCTGCATGGTACTGGTAAAAAAAAAAAAAAAAAGAAAGATAGGAGCACGAGGTTCTGTATAGATTATACCTTCGACTGAATGACATTTCGTAAAAATTAATGACAATTCGTAAGAATTAAAAACGTCTAGTGGGAATGCTTGTTTGATCCTATCTGAAAAAAATAGAAAACACAGTTGTACATTCCATTCCGCAAGTTGTTCTTGGCTTTCCAAGATTTTTTTTTTTTTAATGTTCGCTGCAGCACATTGGACGTTGTGACCAGTTTGAAGCTTTTCTTTTGCTCCTCCTCCGCGGAGTTGGACTAAATGATTCGGGAATAAATAATGCTGCTCTCTGCTCGGTGTTTTTCTGATAAGACAGTTCTTGGCGCGCGCACATGACTAGGAGAAGAGTTCTATTGTCTCCGACTGGTTAAAAATGCACAGTAGAATCCCCACCTCCAGCCCGCGCCCGTCGCCTCCCGCCGGGATTTAGCCACGCGTGCACCGAGGTCTTACGAAAAGCAGTGACACGGCTACCCGATCCCCGAGTCCTAATCGAGTGGCCGTGGCAGTGAGCTCGCGCTGGAGGCGAAGCATCTAGTGCATTCTTAACCTGTGACAGACTATAGCGGAACGGCGAATACATGAGCGCCGCCGATACCTTCCTTTGGAAAAATACTACGAGTTCTTTGCTTTACAAGCGTGAATGTTTTATGATGACAATTAATTGAAGGAGTTCAGCAGCGTCTTTTATGGCCCCCAGCAATAGATCCCAGCGGTAGTTGCTTTGGGATGAAATAGCCTCATCAATCTCGTTCGGGATCTCTGGAAGGCTCGTTTGAACGTAGTACTTACCTCTCAGACCTTTTTTGTGTTTCGCAGCCAAGTGCAGTCTGGACTGCGGGCCGTTCGGTCGGTGCGAGGAAGGGCGTTGCCGCTGCGAGCACGGCTGGACGGGGCCCCGGTGCGACCTGAGGGAGTGTGACCCGCGCTGCCTCAGACACGGCCAGTGCAACAACGGCACCTGCGTCTGCATCCAGGGTTGGATGGGCCTGCACTGCACCCTGGGTGAGGCCAAGATTTTTCCCTCTCTATCGCTCGCTATTTTCAGGTACGCGAAGGCATCTCGTGTGGGTTCATATTGACCAGCTTTGATCGATATATATGTATATTAATGCTACGAATAAAGCGGGGGTAAGCGCAATGTATAGCGTGGTTTTCATTGCGCTGAGTCTTAGGAACTTTTTTGTGGTCCAGAGAAACGTAATATGGGGTTTAATATAGCAGCATTTGTCGCGCTACATTTTAGCGGGAAGTACTTTTCCTTTATATTGCGTGAAAAAGCCTGAATTGGAGTAATTATAAAACGTCAAATAATTGACTGCGTTTAAATTAAACAGGTAGGTCGGATAGATTCAGCCTGTTACAATTCTTGTTACGTTCCCATGTTGCACTTTTTGTGGACTTTTTTTTTTTTTTCATCAAACCCTAGTGCGATGCGCACTGCAGCCCTTCGGCAGATGCCACCATTTGGTAGTGGAGAATGGCAGGCGCGTTCAAAGACAGTCTGATGACATGGAAACAGGTGCGAGGAACGATATGTTCAGACTTGTTTGGCTCAAAGTACGCACGAGAAGGTAACTCGACAGTGCAGTTTGTGGTTAAAGTATGTAGAGCATTTAGGAAGTTTGTTTGTATCCAGAACGTTCATGTACACCCACTAGATGTCGCTTTCATCCAAGCCCTCGCGGAAATAAGCAGTGATCGCCTTCTAAATGAACGAGGAAGTTTTAATTGGCTACATAATATCCGTTTTAAAATTAGATTAGACAAGATTTAATATGAAATGTTCTTTTGCATTCCTCAGACTGGATTACTACATACTTATCATCAAAAAAGAGCTATAACTCCGTTTACCTATGAGCTGAAACTGCAGGCAAAGCTACAAGCCCAAGATATAGCCCACGCTCGTGGCTTTGAGACATGCGTTTCTAACGCGAGCGCTCGTTCTGCGGAAGAACGCTTCGAACCAGCGGCCTCGAGCTCTCGTGCTCGTGGTATTGGCTGCAGGCTTAGCATAAGGGTGAACGGAGTATAGACGCTTTAAACACGCTCCAGATTACAGCTGCCATGGCCGACCTTCTCTTGTCTTACCGAGATGCCGCGCCACTGAAGCGGGTGTTGACGAGCCTCGACAAAGGCCTATGCTAGGGAGGAGGACACAGTAGCACCTAAAGAGGCAATGACCTGTCCTGCTGCGGTAATGATGAAGCAAAGCGAACGGAATAAGAGGAAACAAAAACTGAAGGTCGGTTATGGCGGCGCCCATTCACAGCTGCCTGAAAGCGTCTATACTCTATAGGATGAAGCATGCTTTCGAGTAACCGACAAGAAACACACTTCCAATTATAGCTTTATCTCGATAACGATTTTGTGTTATAAGCTTTACGAGAGCGTTTGTTTCGAAGGCGAGAGCCAGATGCCGGGCGTTAGCGTTCCCCGTTCTAAGGGGTGCTCCACATACTGGCGTCGAGCCCGACTGAGTGCAACTGCAACGGGTTGCCATGGCAACGGCTGCGTCGGCACAAACCAAACCGGTTGTTACCTCGTTTTGTTGGAGCCGACGCAGCAGTCGCCATCGCAACTCGCGTTGCGTTCGTACTCAGTCGGGCTGAGCGCAACTGTGTGGATCGCCCCTAACGCGTTCGTCGAATGCGGTGGAGACGAATGCTGCCTTTGTCTCCACTCGTCGAACGCGTTCGAATCCGAAATAGCCCAACGGCAGACGCCGGCGTTCCGCGTTCTGACAATGTTCGACGAGCTCAGTATAGTCAAAGGCAGCTAGTTTAAAGGCCGACGAACAGTTCGCACTTTCCACTTTTCCTTCGCTTCCTCCTCTCCCCCCTTCTACCCTGTCACCCTTTGTTTGTCCCCCCCCCCCCTCCCCCGGTGGTGAGGAGGATCTTCTGCCTTGCAGGATCTCGAGTCTGGTCGTCGGCCTTTTAAGGCCGACGTACACCTCGCGCTTTCCAGTTTAGCCCGCCTTCTCCTTTCCTATATCCTCTCCACTCTTTACCTTCCCCTAACTTAAATCCCCTCGCTGCTTAGGAGAGGGGAAGCACTGAGAGGATTATCTTCCCTGCAGAAAACGGAGGTTTTACGTCGGCCTTTAAGGTGCGCCCACTAATCATTCTAACCAGAGCTCGGCCTTCTGGCGTTCCCACTCGCTCTTGTCTCCTCTTCCCCCTCATTTTCTCGGCGCATATTGTGCTTGCACAAAGTTACTTGTACCACTGTTCGATGGGACTCGGGGCTCGTCAAGCTTTGCACTGAAGATTTTTCCCTACCGCTCTACCATATCTTTAATATAATATAGAAATAAACCTTAGTACTTTTTTTTTCTTGATAGGTGCCACAGCGTGTCGTCTATTTCGTCAGCTGCCTAAAGTGGTAAACAGACGACCAAGTAAAAAAAAAAAAAAGGAACAGACGGGCTATTTGCGTCATGAATCTTCGCGAATGGATGTGCACCTTTACCTGAGTGAACCAAAGGTGAGGGTTCTTCGGCCAGAATGGTAATAAGCGCAAAGGAATCGTCACGGTAACTCCGTCCGGTCCGCCGTTTGGTTGGAGGTTAGAAGAACCGGCGCCGTCGCTGTGCTGAACGTTCTCTGGGGGGTGGGGGGGGGGGGGGGGGAGGGAGGGGGGGGGGGAGGGGGGGAGGGGGAGGGGGGGGAGGGGGAGGAGGGGGGGTCACTCCCACATCAAGGGAAAGGTGTAAATCGGTGAATCGTCCGGGTCACCAAGTATGTAGGGACGTTCGACCAGTCCGATGTCCGTTCGTCATCAAACATATTCTTAAAGTATCGACATTTGCTTCTACCCGATAGCGTGTCGCCACATGGTGCATAGGTCAGGTGACATTCATTTTCCCGCCATATCTAGCGGGGAAACTAAATATATTTAAAAGTCCCGTGACGTCAGGTCACGTGGCGTTAGTGTTCCGGCTAAATTTAGCGCGGAAACTAAATTGGTGTGTGGGCCCCATGACGTTAGGTGACGTGAAATTAATGTTCCCGCTAAATTTAGAGGGGAAACTAGATTGGCGTATTGTGACGTCAAGTCATGTGACGTCAGTGTTCCCCCTAAATCTAGCGGAGAAACTGTATTGGTGGATAGACTCCGTGATGTGAGGTCACGTCACGCGAATGTTCCCGATAAATTTAGCGGGGAAACTAAATTGGTGTATAGATCATGTGACGTCAGGTCACGTGACATCAATGTTGTTCCTAAATTTAGTGGAGAAACTGAGTTGGTGTTTAAGTCACGTGACGTCAATTTTTCCGCTAAACTTAGCGTGGATACTGAATTGGTTGTAGGTCCCCCATTTGACGTCAACTTCCCCACTAATTCTAACATAAAATGTGCGAACGCAGGGATAGAAAGAATTTTGGGATTGTGATGTTAGATGAGGGACAAGAATTGCCTGCGCGTCGTTGCATATCTAAAAAAAAAAAGATATTGAGTGGGCAGGTACGTATAGGTTTCTTTATTTTCAGTTCATTGCCGTTGCTGGCATCACTTTCTGTGTCCTCATCGTATGTCTTCCATTTTTAATGCGAAAGCATTTAATGCTCTTATGGAGCGAAGCCTTAGAAAAACGGCACCTAAATTCCCATTGGCTGAGCGACGCGGCACCTAAATTCCTATTGGCTGAGCGAAGCGGCACCTACATTCCCATTGGCCCATTCGCAATAAAATACATGCAAACGAACAGCAACATAAAAGCCTTGACACGGAAGTCGGCGGGTTTCGGAAATACAACAAACACACACAAAAAAGCGCAGCGACGCAATGCTTCGTCCCAGAAGCCGTCGTGATGCCGGCAGGGTTCGCCGCGTCTGCGCAGTGGCGGAGCGTGACATCACCACCGGAGCACCGTGTGCGATAGGAAAACGTGGCGCTCTGCTTGTAGGAATACACTGCGTGCATGAATGCTTTCACATTCCTACACGTAAGCAGTCTCAAGTGTCTCTGCCGAATTTTTTCTCTTTTAATTTTGTGGAGGGGTACGAAGTAGCCTACGCGTCCCATTTGCTGTTTATTATTCCTCCAACAGCCACATCATCTTGTCGTTAGACACTATTCCCAGTTCCCGGATATGGTACAACCGGCTGTGTCGTCTTTCTATTTCGGACGGCGTTCGTTGAACGGGCTTCGTAAGCATAGTTTACTTTTCGGGAACACCGGAGCGCGGCTGCCGCGCACATAAGGATATGCTCGGTCTATTGACGGTCAGGGGGATTTCGGGAGCATTCCGTGCGGGCCCGCCATGATTCGGGATTGCACTGTCGCGCGGAACTCCACGCAGCGAGGATTAGGTGGATCTGGAGGCTCAGGACCGCGTCGGGGGGTCGCTGCCGCGTAATGCTGCCTCTTCATTATTGCAGTAAGGCTCCTGACTGAGCGGCAACTAAGTCGTATCTAATTAGCCAAGTTGGCATTTTCCCCGGGGAGAGCCGCCTTGTGCCCTCCCGCTCCTCCTTACTTATGTGCTCCTTGGCCATTGATGAGTCTCAGTTCGTAATGCGTAAAAACACATTCACATAAAACAAAAAAGTGCGTTTTGTTTGACGCTGACGCCGCCGTCGAAACAAAACGAGGCAGCCACACAGGGCCACCCGACGCCGGCGTCTTTTCGTGGAACCCCGCGTTTGTGGAAAGAACACGTACATGTTTTATGCGTCTGCTTCGTGCGATCGTTGTTGCCTCGCCATTGTGAATGCATTGCGCTCGGAGACGGCCGTCTTCATTGAATGGACCATGGCGATGATTATATATATATGTTTACACTCCTGTTGTACGCAGCATATGAGGCATGAACTCGAGAGCGATGCTTCAGGTGCTCTTTTGGCACGTTTGTGTCCAAACAAAACTTAGCACGGTGCTACGCCCGCGCGCCAGTACCTTTAATAGCACTGCACTCAGCTTGTGCGATGGTGTTTCCCAAGGGGAACTGTTGTATTCCGTATTGGTGGCGTGCACACAAAGAATTCACAGAACACATTGGGGGCGTTCTGTGAAACGATAAGAGTCGTTTCACAGCGTCGTGCGCCTACAGCAAACACTGCTTACCAGGGGTTTCCCCAGGAATTGAAATTAGGGGGAGGTCTACATTTTAAGGGGGAGGGGGGCCATTGAGAATAGAGGGGGGTTTTCACCCCCCTATGGGGCTTGTAGGGAAATCACTGCTGCCCACAGTCAGATGTTCCAATCGGCTTGCTTTTCTCCGCGCTGGAATGCTTCCAACCACGTTTGGGGACTGCGCGCGTCCCTGGATCTCTCTGCCTTTTTACTTTTCTTGTGCGTGCATCGAAAATAAAAACAGCAAAAACAAGTACTACACTGAAATAGACGCATGTCACGTCCGCTCGCTCGCTGATTGGCTCGAGCGCGCGCGTCGAGGGATGAATTGGCTCCAAAAGCGTCGTCTCCCGGCGTCGGCGTCCTCGACGCGCGACTTTTTTTCTTTTAAATACAAAAACAAGCAAATATTTTACCCCTCGATGCGCGTTTTTCCGCAGTGTGAATGCGCCTTTAGTGCAGAAAACTTTCCACCACTTGTAGACTCTTCCAACAATCGCCATCCGTGCGCTGCCATCCTTGTCTGCTGGGCTATGGAATGTCTTCTGAGCATGCGCTGTTGCTCTGTTGTGCGGTGTATCAGGCGCTGCGCATGCGTCCACAGTTCAGTGACTCAGCACTTTTCGCCCAAGTGATAAGCGCTGGAAAGGTTATAGACCTCTGCAAAAATCGCCTTCAGCGAGGCTGCCTTCTGAGCATGCGCTGTTGATCTGCGGTGCAGTATATCAAACGCTGCGCATGCGTCCACAGTTCAGTGACTCAGCACTTTTCGCCCAAGTGATAAACGCTGGAAAGGTCTATAGACTTTTGCACAAATCGCCTTCTGCGCACTGCCTTCTGAGCATGCGCTGTTGCTCTGGTGCGCGGTGTATCAGACGCTGCGCATGGGTCCACAGTTCAGTGACTCAGCACTTTCCGCCCAAGTGATAAACGCTGGAAAGGTCTATAGACTTTTGCTCAAATCGCCTTCTGCGCACTGCCTTCTGAGCATGCGCTGTTGCTCTGGTGCGCGGTGTATCAGACGCTGCGCATGGGTTTACAGCCCACTGACTGAGCACTTCTGGCATAAGTGATAAGCGTTGGAAAGGACTATTGACATATTTCAAGCGCTTAGTGGAGATAAAATTTCCCTTTGTCTCTTCCGCATATTCGGTGTCGTTTACTGGAGATGAGAATCGTAATGTTCATCACGCCGGTGGTCATTCGAATAGGGGAGGGGGTCGTTTTTAAAACGAAGTGCGCCGCAACTTGCGAGCACGCGTGCCTCAGCGTTTGCGCGTTCTCGGGGGCACAACTGCGCTGCGGGCTCGAAAAAGGAGAACCTCTCGAGGCAGCTCAAAGAGAAAACGAACCGTCGCGCATCAGAACGTCGCACGGAGGCTAATGCTGGCGCTGGCAGCCGCCGCGTCTCTCCGTGCGAGGCTGGAATCCCAACACTGGGACTTCTTTTTTTTTATTTTATTATTACCACATTTTCAACTTTGGTTGTTGTTTCTTAGGCTGAATTTTAGTCTACCGCAGTACGAAAAATCGCAAGAGCGCCTGATTTTTTCTTTGTTCGTTCGTTCATCCTTTTTTACGGTCTTTGGGGTGTTGCGGAATTTCTCTTCGTCCCAATTTTCCGCTCGGCGGCATTCTGCGCCTGCTAGTAGTTTCGGTCACGGCTGGGCTTTTGGCCGCTGACGAGGGCCCGGGTCCGGGGATAGGCACCGCATCAATTTTCTGGCGTCCGTGTTCGCGTTTCTGCTGACCGGATCTCGCAGTCGCTTCACGTCGTCCTTCCACGCTTTTTTTTTTTTTCGTATTTTGTAAAGAATGTGTCGTCGGATGAATTTTTAGCGAGCAAATGACCTCCATTCTCTGCTGATTTTGTAGCTTCCTCTGGGGAGGGGGGGAGGGGGGGGGGGGGGCAGGCAGGCACGATGCCAATAAAGCTATCGTTGTGCCGCACCCAATCCGTGAAGCCGTAGGTAAAAATAGATTTAGAATTCAGATCGATTTTTATTTTGTCTCGTTTCTGTGTGGAGAAACGAAGCAAAAGCTGCCAAATTACATTGGAGGCAGCAGCTATTCCGAGCAGGGAGTACTTTTTGAAAGTTTCATGCTGCGTATTACAAACGCAGCGATTAATCGCCTTGTCCTGTTTCCCTGTTTCCCTTCGTCTGTGTCCCTGGATTAATCGAAAATACGCATAAAATTGACGTATATCATGCGGCTGCATTTACCCTCTCCCAAATATTTTTTATTAGAAATTTCGAAAATCCTCGGGGTTGCTTAATCCCTTCTCTCTCCCCCTTGCCCCTTTGTGCCCTCTCCCCCATCTTTCTACGCCACTGGAGTGGAGGGGAGTAAAGGGGAGGGGGAGGGGGGGGGGAGGGGGAGGGGGAGGGGGGGGGAGGGGGGGGAGGGGGGTTGAATAGACTAGCTCCCCGTCCCCCTGTTTCGACGCCTTTGCTTAGAGGCGTTCCAACTGAGCAGCGACGAGTGAACAGCACAGCGTGGACTTTTCCAAACAATGGTGCCATTAGGTTGTGGAATTAAAACGGTTCGCGTTTCATGAACTCACGAGTGGCCATGACAGACTTTCGAGCGAGAGGCTCGTGCCAGGCGTCGTAGTGCGCAGGCGCGTTCAGTGGCGTCCTTTTACAATCTCTTCCTTTGACGTAAGGATGAGGCTTATCAGTTATAAACGACCAACCGTTTTGAAAGTCTGAATTAGCCGAACAAATAATTATTACTTTTCAAGCAACCGTGAGTCAAGTGATCTAATCGAATACTGTTTAACAAAGAGTAGCTGTAATCGAGTACTTTCTGAGTAACGTGTACAGGACTGGTCCTGGGATAGACCCTCTGCTTAACGTTTGCGCTGTGCATAGTCAGTTGCCTAATTCACAGATTACGTCTTGGTGGAGCTTTCACGAGAAAGTTTCTTCATAGAACCAAGAAAGCCGCCAGTCTGAATTGCCCGGCATGCAACGTTCCGGAAACCATAGAATACCTCATCAATGCATGCACTGCTCACGTCACTGAGAGGCAGGTACTATAGACAGCTCTTAAATATAGATTATAGACCATTTACTGCCGAGGAAATGCTCGAAGGTTTGGACTCAATTCAATGCTCCGTTAAGGCAACCTACGAACTTATGACCTTTTTGCAACACACGACTGGCACAGAGTAGAGCAATCTGCTAGATCAATACCCACAAGCTAACCTTTCTGTTCCAATCATCATCATCTCTCTTTCTCTCTTTTTTCTCTCTGATGTTGACAGGGTAAGCCGCAAGTACTATTTCCATTGCAGAAATCTTTGTTTTATTTACGCACAGCGAAAGTACTGCATAGCGGATTAAAAGTTTATGAAGGAGAACACCCGCGACCAAGCTCAGCGTTTTTGATGGAGCCGAGCTGGATCGGGAGGGGCTCAGTACTCCGGAAGACGACCGAGTAAACGCGGAGCGAAGGCGAGCGGAGGGGAGACATGTAATAGAGGCGCAGCCTTGACGCCGCGAGCCAGTTTTTCGGCCGCAAGAATTACTGCCGCAGTCAAGCGTTGGTATGAATGGCTTATTATTCCCGAAATGAGAAGAGACTGCCCGGCCACTGTAGAACGCAAAGAAGGAGCGGGCGCCAACGCTGCAAGTATACATTTCTCGCTTTGTACTTCCCTTTCCAGCCACTCTTGCATGCTAAAACGGAAGGGAGGAGTGGTATCCCAAGCAGCACGGAATTTGGCAAAGCATTGACCAATGGCTGGTGATGGCTTTTTGGCCAATGGCCAAAGAGTAGCCATTCATCGGCCAATGTTTGGCCGATGGCTGATGGCCAGTGGCCAGAGTAAGGCCAGTCATCAGCCAATGGCTGGCCACTGTCTGGCCACTGACCAAAGGACCAGTTCAAGCCATTGGTCAATGATTGGTCAAACCTGTTCATCTTGGGGTAGTCATTAATGACTGAAGCTAGACCTTGACCAAACGAGTGGTCACTGTCGCAATTAGATTTATGTCTTCTTTTCTTCGTCTTTTCTTTTTGGTGACTTCTTTTCTGAGCCGGCTTCCCCCGGATAGACGAGGTTATAGAAGAGTGTATGTACGCTCCCTGGCCATGGGGAATGCACTTCCATTAAGCTGCCGCTTGACGCCTGAGTTCCGTAGGGTAAGGCGACGGTCGTATTGCAGACGGCTGTCCCGAAGGCTGCAACAACCACGGTCAGTGCGTGCGGGACGGCGAGGCGTGGCGGTGCAACTGCCTGCCGGGCTGGGCGGGGCCAGACTGCAGCGTGGCTCAGGAGACCAAGTGCACCGACAAGATTGACAATGACGAAGGTGGGCCTCATTGCAACAAAACAGCAACGCGTTGGCTGGACTATAGGAAATTCGATATTAGTTATTAAAACGGCTCTGAAACAGAGAGCGGGGCTCATCCACCGACCTCGTCGCACCACCCACGGGAGGCGGGCAAGTTGCCCCTCCTATACCTGGCGTACCCGTTTTCTGGGAAAGGGGTATCTTGGTGGTTGACCCAGGCTCGGAATAGGCAATCCCCAACCCGGGGTAGACAACGCCAGGCCAGGGGTAGACTACCCGGGAAGGCAACGCACTATTCTGGACCCCGTTTCTGGTAGAAAGCTGTCCTGGTATCGCCTGGCCATGACGATTCAGACAGACGCTCTTTCTACTGCCCTTCTCTAATTTTACTTTGTTCGCCACGTTTTGCACTTTCGTCGCTTCTACTACTTTCACACTTTTTGGTGGCAGTGGCTAGTTTTGAGTGTGTCTTTTCACTGAGGTCCACACTTGGACACTGTTTGGGCAAGTGCTATTGTAATAACGCACTCATCAAAATCAATTGTGTGTTGCTGAGCTCCATGGTGGGCGGCACACACCACATGCCAATCTTCGCGTTTTTTGCTAATTCCAAAATGAACCAACCACCGATCGGCCTAAAGCCGCATCAATAATCTATTTGTGTTTTCAACTGGTGGAACCCCGTCTGCACCAATAAGACTGAGGCACTGTCTAAGTTGCCCCCCTTCACTTTTGTCTGTCCAAGAAAGCAAGCTGTGGAGCTAGAGTTCTAAAATGAGAAAAATATTGTGTGGTTGTGTTTTTTCTTGAGGTGGAATTAGTTTGGAGTCTAAATATTCCCAAATGCTCTTGCTGTCTGGGCCGTTTGGCGTCAGTGTGTAAGGTTAAATTAATAAACGCAGCCTCTCCTGCGATGAGGTTCGACATGCGAGAAAATAATAACGCATCACTTTGAGTACACCTTTTCCCTCGCTATCCTCATATGGGAGATGAAGCTGTTGACGAATAGCCGACTATAACTTCCCTGTGGTACAACCAGGGGGCCTACCAGCTTTATCGTTTAATCCCAGCGGGCTATTTTTGGCCCCCACTCTATCTGGAAGAAGTCCAAGTCCTCTCAAAAGCGGTGTTAAAGGGTCACTCCGGCCGAGGTGTAGAGTCATTTGACCCTAAACAAAAGAACGATTGTCGTTTCTGACTGGCCATCAAGGCCTCCGCGCTATTACGACGTAGAACAAGAATGTAAACAAAGCGTCTTCCTGTTCCCTCGAAGACGGGCTGGGCGACTGCGCCGACAGCGAGTGCTGCTACCGGCCCGAGTGCATGGAGAGCCTGCTGTGCCTGTCGTCGCCGGAGCCCCAGGATATCCTTCTGCGGAAGCAGCCTCCCGCGGTGACAGCCTCTTTCTACCAGAAGATGAAGTTCCTCATCGAGGAGGACAGCGTCCAGAGCTACTCGCACAGGGACGAGTACTCGGAAAGGTGCGCTCTCCCGCTCGATACTCCTGCCTCCTCCAACCAGTGCGAAAGTGTCGGACCCACCGCCCTTTGGGAAAGCTTTACTTTTACGGGAAGATTCTTGACAGTAGAGAAAATAAGGCTATGTGTTCGCAGATTATTTTTTTTTTTTTGTAAGCACATATTTGATGGTTAATAGACCGTTTCCAAAATTCAGTGAGGCCGCTTTAATCGCTTAGTGTGCGTATACGCTAATGGCGACTTTCTGGTCGCCAATGAAAGAATCGGTTGGGGTGGTTGCAGTAGGTCGAAGACATACACCGAAGTTAATAACCCAAAGCATGTCCTCCGAGATGTGCGGTTCACGCCTGCGATTTCGGAAGCCTCGCACAAAACGTGTGATTTCAAGACGTTAGCACAATGCGGCACCAAAATAGCGCTCGTTTCCGACTGGACGCACGACACGCTCCCCTTTTAAATAAGCTTCTTGATGCGAGTATTATCAAGGGCTTTGTCATGGTCAGCGCTTCGTACAGATTATAAGTTTTTTGAGTGTATGAACACTGAAACTGAGAAAGAGGTGTATGGCGAGGGGCATGTTTCCGTCTGACCCGACGAGATCGACGTACGATATTGACGGTGCCCGATGAAATGCTTCGTTTTTACAGACGTTAGCATCCAAAAAGTTAAACTTCTATTTGAGCCGCTAGATGGCACTGAATTTTCGAAAAGGTTAGAGTTCCTGTATATGCTACCTACGCTCCCGTAGGGAGCCTATACAGGAACTCTAGAAAAGGTCTATTCAAATCGCAAAGCGCTTCCACCCTGATATCGAATAGTCTGTAACTCCAGTGCTTTAACGAAGATAGAATTTAATGTATTACTGGTAGGGCATTTCGCGCAATTAGCTTGTCATTATTGACTGAAACTAGTTTAAGAGTATTTAGTTCCTTTCACTGCGAATGAGCAGTCACAAAGTAGACCCTTTTCAAAAATCCATCAAGCAACATTGGCGGTCGCCATTTTGATAGACGGAAAGCCTGTGACTTAATCCGAGTCCTCACCGAACGCTCACACAGCGTTCGCTTTTAATACGTGCTCAGAGCACGTGCTCAAGCTGTGGTGGCCAGGCAATGGCGCGCACTTTTGGAAAGGGTCTATTCCACCGCCTTCTTTCCAGTTTGTGTCAGCGCTGCCGAAGGAAGTGTAAATTTCTCTTCACCGCTCATCGGTGCCGGCAAACGTGCCTTGATCTAGCGGCGCGGAGGTCCCTAGATTTCTCTCAGTATAATTTACTCTTGTAAAACTCAATCCCAAGTTAACGTAAATAGGAAAAACATTCAGGACCCATTCGTTATTGATAACTGCGCGGCGTACACCCAAGTTCAATCTAAGTGTCAGAAGAAAAAAAAAAATTGCGAAGCTTCGAGACGCTTGAAGAAACGTTAAGCGTCAAACCCTTCCCCAGGAGAATTACAGCCTAGTCGTACGTACAATCAAGTCTGTAAGTATATAGATGACGTTGTTCGGCCTGCGAACGGGTGTCTAGTGTCCATGAGGTTTTTGGTCCCATGGTTAGCTTTTGAACGTTGTGTGCCTTACAGCCTTACGTCCCGTTTAATTTGGGCGCCTGAGCGTACGTTTTGGCGTTACTCTTCCACACCGGGAGAGCCAACGTAGTCTATGATTCAAACCGAATGAGCAACTGAGTACGAAACTCGAATCAGCATCCACTCGCCCGACCAATTATTGTGGCTGAAGTCGTTAGGCATACGTTCTTGTTATGTTCCTTTGAGACTACACACTCCTTAGGAGATGGAGGCACATGCAAGCAGCGAGAGCTTCCTCATGATGCGAGGTCCAAGGCCGGTTGGTTAAATATTAGCGTAGCCCTGTCTACATTCTGATTAGTTGTAAACGATAATTTTTAAACTGATGATGGCTAAAGAAACTAGTGCGCAATGTAACCCACACCGCATGGGCGTTTTATCACTACGCTTAAAGTGCGAGGCTTCGAATCCTCCGTTTATGATATGCGAGTAAAGAGCGCCAGGCGATCTTTGTGTATCGCATCAGTATACTGATGTGTTACCAGATTATGCCAGTAGTTGTGTATAACACGTGAGTGGTAGGCGCTCTCCGCTGCCAGAACACTTGGCAGGCGCATTCGGGAAACGCAGAGGCCGGTACGGCGTCGGAAGTGATTGCTACTCTTTGAGACAAGCGAGAGTGTTATTGCGTTTGGTTCGGCGGTTTAGAAAGTGACTCATGTGCCTAACATGCGTCTGGCAATACTAGGCCCATCTCTTTGCATGTTATATTTAGCGGACGTGCGTTGGCAGCGCCAGGGAGAGAAGCGTTACATGGAAAAGTCGGTCACGTTTGTTATACTTATTCTGGACATTAGGCTAAGTTTGTTTTGCCCCAGATTACAAATATGTACTAACGCTGTATGCTTAGCAGAGTACATAAAACAAAAGTTTCTTTTTATTATAGGGCAAGTCCAATCTGATTTCCGCAATTGAGAAAAGAATGAAGTCGTATTTGGTGTCACCTAGAAAGTCTGAAGATAAAATATTTGGAGGCAATCCAGTCTAAATGTTTTCGAAAATAGCACACAAAGTGTGAGATCTGCCAAGTTCGTGAAATCTACCGAATTTGGCGGACGATGCCTGTGACGTCAGCCGCGTCAAAGACATCCTCTTTTTGTGTTGCTTTTGTTACTTTTTGTAACCCAAAACGCGGGACGCGGGTGCGGCCGTGCGTTGGGACCAGCACCAGCTAGAATATCCAAAGCCTGCGAACATCCTACGCTTCCTCCATAGAATGCCATCACAAACGGAAGGCGCCAACTCGGCAATTGAACCCGAACCAGACGCCGAGCGTCTTTTGACACGCTAATTGGACCCGAAGCCCGGCCGGACAGTGACGCAACACTCGCGTCCAACCGGCGTCTTCGCTCAATCTCGCTGCGATGACATCCGAAATCCAGCGCACTGGCTTCGGCCATTCTAGATGGTGTTGACTGGACACAGCGTCGTAAGCACGTGATTCCAGCCGTCTGCTAGAGGTTTTTCTCGTAAGCTATAGCGACCATAACCCCTGTTCCTTGAGAACGTTTCGCTTACGAATGTCTGCATTTGCTTGCAGACTTCGGCGTTCGCCGCCTTCGTCTGCTGCGGCATAGCTGGGTGTAGCTGCTGCGAGGAATATTTTCTTTGTAGTTGCTGAGAGGCTAAAGGATGTCCAACCGAATTCGGTTTCTTTTACGTGCATGTTAATGGAGGGCATCTAGTACTCCTTATCGGGGGACTGAGAAATAATTTTGGCAACCTGCGGATCGTTTCATTTGCGACCGAAATCACGGAAACATGGCGGCGTCTCTCCACAATAAGCCTTCTCCGTGAGATTGCGGGCACCTCGGCACGGGGAATTCAACCCGCTTTCTGTGTATCCGGTCGCCGGCGCTCGGCCTCGGAGCCACCGAGGCGACTTTGGTAGACAGAATCGTGTCTAGCCTCTCAATCGGGATCCTCATCTACAAAGCAATATTTGATAACGCTCGGATAAAGTTAACGTACAGGACACTAGAACGATGGCGGATCTACCAAGGAGAGTTAAAATGAGTTCTAGCTGTGCCGCTGGATACTTGTCCATGGCTGTTCTCGGTACACCCACCCTGGCGAAAAATCAATCGATCAATCAATGGCGAACAACAATCGTGAGTCTGGCCGATTACTTGGGTTCTACCTTTCTAACGTATAAATACGTCACAGAGCCAATAGCTGAGGAGGCATTTAAATATCTTTAGCTGACGGAACCCTCTTACTGTTGAATAACGTATTCTGGAAGGTTTCATTAATCCTGGAACATTCATTCTATGATGGCTTAGTCAAAGTCAAAATTGTTCACTTTGCGCGATTGATTGTTAGTATGATACGGAGTATATCCAGGCGGGAGTTACAAAAGACGTGTCTGACTTATGAAGGCCCGTGAAGTTTGCGAAACATATCGACTATTTCGGCGTTGCTGCAGGTGTAAAGAATAGATCTGGTTGGGCGCTGTTACGAAGAGATTTCGAAGGACCCCACTCACTGTGACTTTCGTTAACGAGCTCGTTGCAGCGTGCGAGCGCTGTGCGGCTACGTTCCAGTCAGTCGAATTCATAAATATTTTTATTTTTACCGCCGTCTAACACTCCGCGCCAGACTGGCACGGAGTGTCCAAGCAACCACAGTCAAGGAATTGACTGAGCTAGTCCTGATAACAATGCGCGAAAGAAACCTGCCATGAACTTCTGGTGTGCCACCTTATAGTGTCTGTGATCTGGCGTTTCTTAAAGTATGACATTTTTGGGGGTGGACAGAACACCGCTGAAAGAGAAGCGGCGACGTCATCCTCCGAACACCAAAACTGCCAGGTGCCGGTGTACTGAGAGTCCGCTCCCAGCATCTGGGGACGTGTGCCGCATTCGACATAACCTTAGCCGTCAACGAGTCTTCGTCCCAGGTCAAAAGGTTGCCTGGTCGTCGAGTGTCCTGACGCACGTCGTCTTGGGAGACTACGGTGCCAGAGAGCTACGTCAAATTAACACCACAAGAGAGAAAAAAGGAGGGCAGCTATCTTATAGGAAATAAATTATTCCCTAATTTATTGTTGTAGCGAGCCTTTAGTTATATAAAATTCGGCAGTACCGGTCTGTCATTGTCAATCATTCAAAGGTCACAAGATCGTACATCTCAACTGGAAACCACTAACAACCTTGAGTAAAACAACTCTTCAATTATTCCGTCTTGCGAACACCGCCGGGAAATAAGTTAATTCCGAGATGAAATGAAGAAGGTTTGATTAAAAATAGCACGGGGTGGTTTATTATGAATGTCACACTAAGCAGATGTTTTTTATATGTAACACACTGTTCGCACTCTAAGCTCATTAGCTTATGACCGTTTTGATAGAATAAGAAATCAGGAAGGCTGGATTCTACCAAATAATTGGAAATAACTGTGATTTGTGAACCGCAGCGCGCAGAGCGTATTAAAGTTTCGTGGTTTAGGTTAAGACGCGGTAAAAAGAATACGAGGCACAAAGGACAGGCTGGCGTAAGCTTACTTCAACTATACTAGCACTCTCGGTTGTCTTTTGTTTATTGATCACCTATGACACCCCCTTTCAATGTCCCATAGCGGGTCACGAACGGTAAGTGAATCACTTTAGAGCTGCTTGCCGACATTGGGTTCGAAGCACCCAAGGTTAGTCCTGCGTTGCTGCAGATGACTGCACCAATCTCAAGATGGGTGTCTCCTGTCGCAACTTAAGTTGAGCAATCAACGGAGGGGTCCTCGAAGAGCGCGGCGGCCTTCCTTCCAGGAGTGTGTAGTCCGAGGCGGCTAGCGCACCCTCGACCCCGTTCTTCCTTTGCTTTCTTTTCCTCGGGTGTCTCTCTTATCTGCTTTATGTTGGTGGGTTCCGTTTTCTTCTTTTGTGTCTGTGCGTTCCAAGTCTGTCCCTGTCCTGTCCATGTGTCGTTCCATGTGGTCACACGGAGTGTTTGCTTTTGTGAGTCCTGCGTCTGTGTGTGTGTGCCTTCGTACTGTGTCGTGTTGCGTACCTCCTACGTGGAATTTTCTGATCCCTGCTCGTCGACGGTCCTAAGCGAAGGGAGGTTGTGGGGTGACCGTCTGCCTTCTGACGGGCGGAACGCTGCGGTGGCACTTTCAGTATACCTTCGTCATCCCTTCCTTCTGTGTGTCCACATTGTTCGGAGTGTGCGGGTGCAAGCCTCGCTCAACTTAGACCCGTGTCTTTCTTTCTCTCGGTGATTCTCGAATGGCGACACTTCGAACAATGTGGGTGGCCCTCTTTGTGTTGCCCACTCGCTCGGTGTTTGTGGGAAACGAAAGATGCCAAGTAAAGAAATCTTGATGGCCTTTTCCAAATATGAAATAAAAATTCCTTTCTTCAACCGTCATGACTACCCACACGACTATTGAGGATTGTTTGCTTAAAAAAAAAAAAGTCGTGAGATACATTAAGGCAGATATGGTCGAGCCCTCATAAAAAGCACAGTTTTTGGCTTTTAGTAAATTGTTCAAATTATGGATAGAAAAACAACTTTTTGACAGATCCTCGAACGCTAGCAATGTTGTAACGATAAGCGCAACTAATGAAACAAATTTATTAAAATAATGTATTATACCTACTGCCAGAAACACGAAGTGGACAAGAATTCCGGAATTTTACTTTAACTGTCTAAAAACTACCGTATTATGGTGATGTAGTGAGTCCAGTAATATAGAAGTCATATAGTGCTTATATAATATAGAGCTTCTGGACGACTGATCCATTTGGTGTGTAGATTATCAAATACAAGAAGTGTAAATCCGAAAAATAACGAGAAGGATAAAAGTTATGACTATCTGCAGAGATATATAAACATATGTCTCTTCTCCTTTTTCTAGGAAATCATAGAAATATTTACGCAGATAGCCGTGCATATTGTAAGCTCTTTTACCTGAACACTGACGGGCGAGCCAACTCTGGGCAGTCATGAAATTTTGGTAGTTTCTCTTAGTGTTTACCCATATGAGCCTCATTCAGTGCCTGACGCGCCGCTGTCACGAAAGGCCAGTAAACATGTCAATGGTTCTTCTCCAAGCAGCATGATCGTCATCCCACGAGCAACTGGCGAGGCTGTCGTATGAATGGCTGGTTTTATTTTGAGAGGAATGGACGGATGAGCCGAGTGAATGTTCATGTATCCCCTTCCTCTTGTGGTCCTTGCTTTTCTGTGATGTGCCACTTGCTTTCTTCGGTGAGGTCCCAGTATCATGTGAAATCAACAAAAGCCTTCAGAGCGTCTTCAGTGAGTCTTTGCTTCATCAAGCCAGAAGTATCCTCAACATTCACATAGTTTACTTATTATACTATAAAGAAGAAAATATCACCGAGCGTTTTAAAACCTTATTTCTTGTTTCTATCATTTGACGCCGTCTTTACTAGTGTGTTTCAAAAACTTATTAGAGCTTTTTTTGGATCATGTAAATGAATTCTGAAGCATCGTCACAAGTTCAGACGTCCCTATATGTGACTTGGAGGAAAATACAATCATAAGCCTCCAATGGTTGCGTTTTATGCAAAAGTTGTTTACCTTCATAGCTTGACTTCTTCGAGGGAACCATATTCTTTGCCCATAAAACAACTGACCGGAAACTTAATGCCTTCACAGATAACGTAGAACAAAAAGGTGCAAACACAGTAAAGTAAAATCATCGTTGTCCCTCGTAACTACAATTGAATGCTTAAGTCAAAAGTTTGAAACAAGTTTTATCGAAAACACATGTATGATCACGAATGACTTCAATTCTGGCTGTCTAAACGTCGCAAAGAGTGGGGCATCCTCACGAATTACCGGAATACCTTAACGCGAAAACGAATATGGCTCCTCTACGTTCGGAGAATGATCTATAATCTACACATTATTCGTTGAAGCGACAAAATGTTAAACACGCTGAAACTTGCTTACGCTTAATGTCTTTATAACGCTTAATCCAGCTTGTGAATTCGCCAGTTTGTGCCTCCTCTAGCCCTCTTGACCAATTTAGCCATGCAAAGCAGAACAATAATGCAGGAACATTAGCCACATATTTTTGTAGAAGGCAATGCCATCAATCAATGTAGGCTCAACTGCAAATGTAAAATTTAATTACGAACTTGTTTTTTTTTAACCATAAAGGCTTAGGAAGTAGCGAGGATGTTTTGTAGTAGAGGATACTCTTCTGTAAAGCTTTTTCCTCGTTAATAACTGAAGACGCAAAACAAAGGCTTTGACTTGGGGCTGTGGACTGGGGCTCTGGATAAAGGCTGTGAATTAAGATGTCAGAGAGCGGAGGCTGACTGTCCGTTCGTTTGTCCATGTATCGCTCCCACCCTCTCCATCTGACCTTGCAGCCAATTCTGGAGTGCCTTCGTGAAGAGGTGAGTAGTGTGTGTTCTGAGGAGACATTTGTGGAATGATCAGTACTCGACACAACAACACACACACACACACAAGCTAAGAGGGGTCAGCATTGTGTTGTCTGACCACGTTGAAATACTGTCGAACACCCCTACACACGGGTAATCGCCTTTTTATTTGTCCTGGAGGGATCCCCACGCGAAGTGGCGCCATAAGGTTTCGGTTTACTTTTCAAAACCTCGTACTGTCTGGCACCGAGAACTGTTCTTCGTATCACTGGCGTATGCTTATTGTACAAAGGATTTTATAGCGTACTATATTAAAAACTTGCCTAAGATAAATGTATAAAAGTATGTTATGGTTCGAGAATTTATTACGAAGTAAAAAAGACTTTAGATTTGTATAGCGCTGTTAAAATTTATTTGCAAGTGTCACGCAAGGCTGAAGACGGCATGAAATCAGACTAGTGAGTCTGGCGTAATAGAACGTGAGCAAACAAACATGTTTCAGAACTTTATCGGGCAAATGTGCAGGTTAATTCGCTTGTTTTATACACTTTCATTTCAATGCAGACATATTTATGTAACCCGCATGCTTCTTTTGTTAATTACCCATATGTTCTTGCAACTTTCACTTATTCCCTGCACTTGCATGACATATCGCACTGAGAGTTGTTACGTTTAGGGATCACACCGAAGAATTACATTTTTTTTTTTTTTTGTCTCGGTATCGCTTCTGTTTTATACCTGTAGTGCTTTTTTTTCAAATTTAGTTTCCAACTATCAGGGGAAGAGGCATATCAGGAGGCTGCTGTACCGATATAAAATCCTATCTGAAATATCGTTCTACCGTATCTTACACCGTATTCGAGGTACGTCTCTCACTGCCACGATGTGCAAACCGCGCAAGATGTCGCTAATACTCCCCGGCTGTCTGGCTGACGCCACGGAATAGCGGGCTTTTTTCGAAAGCCAATGGTTACTTTTCGTTTGAGCATTTTTTTTTCAATTTGCTGCGCTTCAACCGCTCGTTTTTGTTTGTTGGCTTAGCTTTCCTTGGTTACTGTTTCTGTCATGTGTGTGTGTAGTCTCCTGCCGTGTTTTCAACTGTGTAGCTCCGTGCTGACCCTGTGTACTCGGCCAGTTGTGTGTCCCTTTCCCCTCCCCCCTCCCCCGCTTCCCTCCAGGAGAGTTCCACACACATTTCTGACTGTCGCGACTGGCTGGGAAACAACAACCAGGATTGGTGATTTACGAGGAAAAAGGAGGTTTCGTGCGATAGTTTCAGCGGAGCGAAATCTGCTTCCACCGATACAAAAAAGAAAGAGCATATACTTATAAGCCAGCCTGGCACTCTATGTCTGATCGTGCCTGGGGGATTCTTTTTGTCGTCACGGTATGGCATTGTCAATCTCCAGTTCATGAATTGCTTGCAACTCATGTACTCGTTGAGGGCAGTTTCAGCGTGGCTGTTACTACGGATTATTATTTTTAAAGAACTGCGCAGGGCTGGATGAGAATAAAAGTAATTTCTGAATTCTGAACTGCTCCCATGACTTCGATGTGCCCGATGTTGGACATTTATCTGGCTGAGGAATTTTAGAAATATCAAAGTGTACCTTGACAAGCTCGTTGATGCACAATTTGTAGTAGCTATAAATTATCTTGAAATGGTGTTTCGCCTTGTTAAATATTTTTAAAGGTAAAAACATGATGATAATATTCTGGGACTCAAAATCCGATTTTCAGTTTCAAAGAAAATGTTCACCATAGCAATGTTGCATACTTAACAGCGGTATATCAACCAGTCTTTTTGTAAATTCTATCGTTTTTTTTAGGGTACCAGTGAGCCAACCTAAGCTTTCTGCTCATATTGCTAGCAACCATTTTGACAACTGGGTTTTAAGAATAACTGAAACACGCAGTCAAAGTCCTAATGTTATGATTTAGGTACGTTTAACTGAGGAGTGAAGGATTATCTGGCGAAGTCATCTAAAAAAATATTATGCGACTGCCCATTCAACAGTACTAATGGTCTAAGGCTGCACGGCATCAAGCGATTATGCATACAATTTATACATAAACTTTAATAATTTTCTTAATAAAAGGTCGTTGTAAATGTCAGAATATGTCAATCTTCGGGCTTACTTTAATTCTTGCATTTTTTTTTAATAGTTTGAAAGCGCCGCACAAACATTTCTCAAGACGACTTTCTTTCAAGTACAGGATTATTGGACTGGGTCTTTGCCACGTCTCCGACTGTTTGGAACTCTTCGTGGGTTGTGTGTTCTCCCGCAACCCGATTCCCCAGACATCGTGTCTTCGTGTTTCTCCCGTCTTCCAACGTGTCGTGTCGCAAAGCCGGGAAGACGTGTGTGTCCCCTTTGGTTCCCACTCCTGAATTGTCCTTTGTGGCTGTCCTATGTGTCTTGTCTGGCCAGGACCGCGTCCTGATGCCAAAACGTCTTGTGACTAAGTTTTGTTTTTCTGATCTCATATTATTTTTACACAAAAGGAAGGTTTGTTATTTTTGGTTTGTACATGTTCCTGTATGAAAATATTTGTTTTTTTTCTTTTTAGAATATGTTTTTTTGTAGTCTAGTTGTGTGCCTCTAGCGCCGTCTTAGTGTTCTCTGACAGCTCCATAGTTCTGAACAAAGTGAGCTCTCTGCATTTTTAGGATGAGGCATCCTATTGTATGTTGAACTTTATTTTGCAGTTACTAATTGCAGTCAATTTGAGCCATGAAGTCCTATGTATTTGTTTAATACGCAACATCACGCGATATTGTGAACCATTCTTAAAATAGCTCTATGTAAAGGGAAATATGATGTACAGCTTTATACTTGAGAATAGTATGCCTACACTGGGAGAAAATATATATTAGTTATGGCCTCGTGACTAAATTGGTAACTTAACTATATTTCGAATACGCTACATGTGTTCGCATTCTTTATACCTGTAAACATCTGGTGTCTTTAATTCCGCAGATATGCTGCGTTCTTCTGTACCTCACCCTTGAGGTTGATGATTCGAGCCCTAGTCTTTTCCAAGCCTGCTAAGTGCATGTGTTGTTCGGATCCCTTCTAGTGAAAGATCAGTCCACTTATCTTTTGTTGCAACGCATTTTAATTTGGCCCCTTCGCTCCCTATGTGCTTCCGCGGCTTCAGCCAGCAGCCAATAAGGATCCAACTAGCTATTTTTTTGTTTCGCTGCCATACTGCTTTTCAGTGTCATGTCTGCTCAAGACCAGATTTTGATGCTATTCACAAATTTATGATCAAAAAGCTTAAAATTCACATCATATTATGGCACGATTCCTGTCAATACTTGTCTCCGATTGGTGTCTGTCGATATGCGGTGGGTGGCTCAGGTGGCAAATGCACTGTCAACGAGAGCGCATATGTTTTTATCTGTTCATTTATTCAGCTTTCGGGAAATCTATGAGCTGGTACAGATGTCGGAGCAATATCTCCTTGATATAAGGAATCTAAGCATCACCTTAATAAGAAACACTCAGCTAGGTCTGTTTCGCGACGAGTGTGCAGGGAAAGCATACTTGAGTGAAAAATCGAAAACAAAAATACGAAACTAAATTGAAGAATACAATTGCACATACCAGTTGATTTTCTCAAATCTCAATTGAGCTATGTACCAGCGGTTCGTGTGTGCTCACGTCTAAATACTATGCTTAAAATATTTCTTTTTAATTTGTTTAACTTTTTAACCTTGTTTCCTTCCTTCTGAAGGGCGTACAAATCTATATATTCACCAGAAAGCTGTTTGTTTTGCTAGTGTGATGGAGTAACATTTCATTCACGCGTAGAGCTGTAAAATTTTACTTCAAATTCTAGACTCGTACAAAAATGTCAGAATACGCTGGTTGAATTGGAAGGGGTACTGTGCACAGGTTATTAAGTGGATGCTTTTTGCATGCGACAGGACTGGTTGCCTCGACAGATCAAAATGTGAATACGCATGCAATGCAATAGCCTTCTTTTTTAATAGTTTTTTTAGCGATAGCCACTATGCCTCTTCCGTGCCGTTTCCTAGTGTTTTCCCCAGGCTATGAACCACACGATAGGAGCTGCCCTAAAACGCGTGCATGAAACTCGCTTTGCCTGTAAGAGAGCCCGTCTACCGGACACAAAGGTTTTTTTCAAAGACTTCTTACGCACTGAAGCCTGAGTTGCACACAGTATAACCATGGCACACTCTTTTTTTTTCTCACTACAAGTGTCATTTATGTCATTTTACGTGCGACTTTTGCTACGTTCTGGTGTCTTTTAATTTTACTTATTTTTGTGAAAAACTGTCCTCGTGCTTGTCAGTATAGAGAGCACCAGTGTGACCTTGATGGGACACTACTGTGAATGCTCTCTGCTGGGAGCGCCCATAAAAAATATATGTTCTGTTATGTTGAACGTGTATGAAAAAGGGTTGGGGAAGCAAATTACGTGTATGAAAATGGCTCGCTGAAGCGGGTTGTTGAGCTACTAGCGTAAAGGCCCGTTCACACTCTTGCAACCGAGTACGACCGAGAAAGACGAGATCTGTTAAAACTTCTTGGAATTTCTTACGACGAGGAAACACACTGGCATTCTGGCGTCATCTATGCGGTGACCCTGGAACTGCATTTCACAAGAGCGAAGATTTTGCGGGATTTCCGAGGTTAAATATGCGTAATACCTATACGAAAGGCTCGTTTATAACGTTGACAAAAGTTTTTCGAGCCAAGAAAGAAAGGATAAGGCGCGAGAGAAGTAGAAAATATGCCGGACCGCCAAGTTTACACTGCTTCCCAATAGATGGCGCCAGTGTGTCGTCTCGTTGTAAGAGGTTTTAAGAAACGCAGTTCTGTGAGGTCGCAAGAGTGTGAACGGGCCTTAAGGTAGGACTTGGAAGACGTAGGAGAAACGTGCAAACCTAGAAATAAATAACAATCAGCGCGAGCGCATTGCATGTTTCTCAATTGTATGAAATGCTCGCGTAGTGAAGATATACTAAGCGTCTGGCTGTAATGTTTTAACTTCAATGTGTGTTAATTTCCCCCGATGTTGAAGACCTTAAACTTCTATTGATATGTAGTTCTGTGAGTGCACTTCACGCCGGAATTTTATGCCGCTCCATGCGACGATGACCGATATGGTTTAAATATGTTTTTTGTTCATGGAGGCCTCCGCCGTAATTTTGTGGGTGCGCGAAGCTGTAACAGCATCGCACAAGAAACATGTCCCCGAGTTTAAGCACAGCACGGACAGTGCACGTTTCTGACATCTGGTCAGTCTATCTCGCGAACTCGCCTGCACTTTCGCGACAAGGGAGGAGGTAAAAAAGAAGCTGCCGATGGTGATATAAACATATATACTGTATATATGTAAATTTTTCTGTTTTTTCATATTCGGTGCATTTTCTAAAAGTACGCATGCACGAAAATGCCTAGTTTTTTTTATCTTTTGGCGGAAAGGAAATATCAGTGTAATATGAATGCGACTGCAGAATCAACAACGCGCAACCAATATGGAGTACCACGAATGCTTGGAATAAAAACATGAAATAAAAACTAATTACCGCATGTCCGTATTTAAAGATAAGAAGTTGTCTCAGCCCTAATATTACAATTATATCTGTTCAATTTTCGTTCATACTGAGAAAATAGGAACCCTAAACAATCTCGAAGTGATAACTTAAAAATGAGCATCCCCGAAGGTGCACTTCTTAAACCGAGTCTCGCTGGTTTCATCTCAAAACGACAGCTAATCCGATCACTATAATTAAAAAAAAATAAAAAATCTTGAGACAAATGAAACGACATACCACCGCCTCAAAACCAGCACAACGTTCAACTGTTATTTCCTTTCATAACGGTCTCCTTCGTCATCTTTTATTTGAGCTATACAGATCCTAACGGCAGGCACACACACAACACACTGAGAAAGCCTCGAGCATTTGGACGGAGGTCTGAAGGCAATTTGCAAATGGCAATTGCTCACGGGACAAAAAAAAAAAACACTCACAAAATACACAAACAGTCGAGTCAGAACCTACGATCGACTAGACAGATAACAACGCTCGAGTATAGTAGTTCAGGTTATATGAGGGCATGCTAATACAGTTTCAGGCACTCGTAATCTTAATTGTCGCCTTAAGCCCCCTCTTAAATTTATTATTTTCATTGCTAAACACAATCGCCTGCTTCCCAATGGGGGAAACAATCGCTACATTTACTCCGGCGTCTTACAATTACACAATTGGCAGAATATGAATTAACCGCTTTTTTTTGTGCTCGCATATTAGATCGTTCAGGCTGCGGCTAGTCTGACCCTCAGGCCATTGGCGTAATCGTATATTACTACCACCTCGCAGTTACTTGCCGGATCATTTTTTTTGGCAGCCTTAATTACCTTTTGAAGAACGCGTTAACCCACTTAATTTGAAATATTTCAAATACAGTTCTCACACCACGGCTTTTTGCCAAGGCCGTTTATTTGCCAAGGCTGGTTTGTTTGTAAAATCCAAATGAACCAGAGTCCAGTCTAGCATAAATACATTGTAAGGTGCGATTTACTGGGAGTTTGCGTGATATGCCAAGCACTTCTCCGTTGCCTCCTCCCCTAGTCGCTGCTACAGTGGTTTGTGTGCTTCTGTTGCCGGTTGTTACCGAAATGTCGGATGCAGATTTAAGTGACGTTTTGATACAATTCCAGCCGCGTGTCAGTGATTCGTGGGAGAGTCACGAGCAAAGAAGGCAACGGCATCATCGGCATTCGGGTCAGCGTTGCGACGGACCCGCAATTTGGATTCACCCTGACCAGAAACGACGGATGGTAATTATGTCCAATAACGTCCTGTACACAGTTGGTGAGTTAAATAATCTGGGTAAATAAGCGTTTGATGTGATTATTTTACGCACACGTCATCCACCTGCTCTATTCGCTTATTGCGGCATGAAAAGAATGACGAATTAATAAAAACTGAGCATATTTAATACGCCATAAAAATAATATGGATAATAAATGTCGGTGCTACAATAATTTGCGGTGAAAATAAAAAAAAAAAAACCCAATGAGTTACAATTTTAAATTTTTAACTAGAGATTGTCTCGGAAGTAAGATATACTGTGGTTTTATTACTTATTTTTCCTGAATTATCGTTATAGCGGGAAACAGGGTAACTCTTCTTTTAACCTAAGGGTTTTGTGGGAAGCTAGCAATCGCAAATTTATCTAATATTTTTTAAAGCACTTTGACAAAGATGATGGTTGTTGAAAACATAGTGCTCTCTTGCGTTACAGCTTAAGTCCAGACACAGCTGACGTTACGAGCTAATGAAACGAATCGAGCAGCGTCAAAATCGCAAGTCACTAGGCCGTTTCTGCTAATGACCGGTTTGGCGATGATGGAACACGTACAGAAACTTGACAAAGATCATGATGGTGCGCTTTTGACGGTGTCTGATTGGTGTCATCAGCTCGTAGCCTCGGCTACAAGGTATAGTTACTTGAGCGTAGAAACGGATATTGTTCCGATGTCGGAGAAGTGACTTTCGTCAGTGTTTCATTGTTGCCAAACCAGCGTGTCGAATTCAGTGGTGCTTAAAATTAAAAAAAAAGGCTGCCAGACTTATTGGCAGACGTAACAACGGAAAGAGCTGGAAATGGGAGGTAAAATGTTCATAGTACATTTTTTTTTTTTTTTTTTTATAAATTAGCGTTTCAGGAAATCAGCATTTTTTCGGGTTTGTTCCATTTGCTGAGTACTGTCTCAACTACACGTTCCCGCAAGAACGGGACATAAAACTTTTTCGTGGTAAAATGACGGGACGCTGTAAATAAACTTCTAAAACTAGGCTGTGCCGTCTAAAACGGGATGAAGCGTCTCGTCAGCCTATATGTATTTCAAATACTAGGCCGGTTCCCTACGAGCGCGCTACACTTTTTCACCGATTTCGGCGTATTCCTCCCTGTCGTACAAAAAAAAACAAAACATATACAGGGTGTTCGATCTTTAATTCGAACAGGTTTGTACTGTAAAAGGTAAAGGTAAAAGTTGGACGAGGGCCGTCTTTACATTGTGTTCATCAGGCTCAGCGTACTTTATAAAAGTCATCATAATAGGCTGGTTTAATAACTTAAAATATTAACACAATTTTTAATTATTGATATTAGGGGTCATGTGGCAAATATAGTAGTAGGGATAAGAGTCGAGACAACTTTAGTGAGGTCGCGAAACGTAACATTTTATTAAATATTAGCTTATCAATTTTTACCTGTTTTCGCCCGACTTAAATACCACGCATAAGAAGAGCACCCCGAGCACTACCAACAATTGCGCTTGGAAAAGTGGCGTGGTCATTTAAACCACATCATTTCATTGTCAGAAGCCTGCCTGATATACGAAATCCCCATGTCATGCGGATCATCGTACATTGGCCAAACGGGCAGATGCTTTAGTGATCGCGCCCGCGAACATGCTGCGGCTACACGGGCTACCCCGTTGGGACACCTCGCCACGCACTGCAGCCGTTGCTCCTGCACACCGTCATTTAGTGACACAAGGTTTTTGGCCAGATACGCCGATCGGATATCAAGGGAGCTGCACGAGGCCTTCGAAATAAAAGAAAAAGGCAAGGACTGCATTAGTAACACGTCTGTGTCACTATCGGCAAAAGAGCACACTTTTCTACGAAGGGGGCTACACCGGACGTAGTATGACTGTGTAGTATGACTGTGTAGTATGACTGTGTAGTATGACTGTGTAGTATGACTGTGTAGTATGACTGTGTAGTTTGACTGTGTAGTATGACTGTGTTGTTTTCCATGAGTATATAAGAGAGTGGTTTTTTCATAAACGCTAGTTGCGAGTGCGCCTTGTTCACGTCTCCTTTCTTGTATCTTGTCCTTGTGTATTTTCGGCGCCCTGAAAGTTATCATGAACCAACTAGCCCAGATTGCCATTCTAATGATGAACTTTCGCCCCACGTCTTTTAATGGGCGGGCGCGGTTTTTCCCAGGTGGCTTGGGTTCTTTCGCGTCGTAATCGACTGCACCAGCCAGAGTAATAGAAGACATAAACGAGCATCGCCTGCTACTCGATTGTTTACATACCGGTCTTTATCTTGATTTTATGAGCCGGTCGTAAAGAAGTCGACCCCTAAAGGCTAAAATATCTCCAATAAATAGTGCCCAAACGACCCTAAAAAAACAAACAAAAAACATGTAAGCATGAGTTTATACAGCCTAATTGCTCCCCCGGTCGTACTTCCTAAGTTCTGTCGACTACGGAATCAGTCGCCATGCTTCCGCGTTTCGCCGGCACCAAACACGGTGTTAAAAACAAATCGCGTGCATGCAAGCAAATGGGGATGCTGTTCATCTAAGTGGCGGAACGCGGCTCACCGAAAGTGAAAAGGTGTTTTGTGAAACGACCCTATGCTGGAGACCGCATCTCTTTCTGCAATAAAAAGATATATGACTGCGCCTGCGACCGTGAAAGCACAGAGACAATATCTGCCCCACGGCTCGCTTGTCGACTCGGAGGCATTCTTCCGTGCGGCCCGAGACATGGAATGGTGACGAGGGAACTTCCGCACCTTGCCCAGGTTTGACATTCTGGTGAATGGCGGCGGCGCAGTGACGTTGCAGTTTCAGCGCAACCCGTTTCACCCGATCAAGCGAACCATCATGGTTCCCTGGAACGACATCGTAGTCATGGGCCAGGTGGTCATGTCCGTGCTCAGCGAGGAGAATCCTCAGGCCGGGGAGCTGTTCCAAGAGCAGAGCTCTTGCGACGCCCACAGCTACGACAAGATGAAGCCCATCGTGTACCAGACCTGGAGGCCCGGATCCCAGGGGGGCTGCACGGACTCCAGCGCCATCTTGGCCGAAACCCAGGTACTAATTTTTTGCTGACTCTCGTGCTGCTCTGATGCAGGGCTCATTCACCGTGGTTGGGGACGCACGAATCCGGCTTCCTTTCATGCCTTAAAATATTCAGTCAGTTGTGTTTTTTTGTGTGTGCGGCACAAAACAATAAGCAATGGACCGATCTCACCAAGTGTTTTACGCATGCATGCGCCGCCATAACTATAGGAAGCAAGCGCCAGTGTTCGTGCCGCCTCGTGCTCTGCTAGGATATACTTTCAGCGGAGTAGTCGCGTGTGCAGAAAGACTACAGATTCCACGAAGCATGGCGTCAGTGGTGCTGTAACTAAACTGGTTTTGAGAACGGCCGGCTCAATTAAACCTACTTCAGTCTCAAATATTTCAGACGTAGCGCGGGGGCGCGCTCGCACGTCATGGTGACTTTATGTCGTCGAAGAGCTGGCACCCTCAGTTCGGAGCCTGAACGCAACCCTAGTGACCCGCGGCCGTCGGTGCGCTGCGGCAGTGCCGGCGGGATTGAAAACTTCGGTCTTGAGACGCGCTGAACTGAAATTCAGCACGCGCCCACTCGTCCCGTTAAAGGGACCATGAAACGATTTTTCTACTTTCGCTAAATACTACTCAGAATCACGCCCTAGCGTTAATAACCAATTAAACTTGCCTTAGTTTTTCTTGATGAGCAATGGCACTCGGAAAATATATTCGAAAAATGTGAGCATCGTTCATCCCCTCAACTCGGACCCAGAACAAGCAGCCACGTGGCCTGGTGACTATCCTATGCTACCAACGTTAATCACAGCCACGCGCTGGGGTTGGCAAAGTAGAAAACGCGTGTTCAGGTCCAGGCATTGTAAGAGGTCGGCAATTTTCATCCTCGCAGTGGCTGGACACGAGCCGCTAACCCGAGTGTCCGCCGAAGCATTGATTGTTACGAGCCGAAGTCGAGTGCTCACGCAGTTCTCTTTCCCAACCCATGAGCCGCGCTCTACTGTCGTCAGGCAAATGGTTTCGATCCCACGTTTACGTCGTCAAGCTTTGCAAAGGCAAGACTGAAGGAAATATTCTCCTTTTATCCTCGCAATTTCACCGCGACAAAGAAGTTATTGAATCATTGGCGTTCTTTGCGAGTGTACTTGGGCCAAACTGGAACCAGTACTCCTCTGTAAAGTCATGAACATATTCCAACTCGATCTCGTTTCATGACCCCTTTAAACCCAAAACGCATCAACGAAGACGGTCGCCGCGCGACGGTTTCCATATCAACCGCCGCGAACGCTGTGACGTGAAGTGATGGCGTAGGTCCAGGTTACAACGTCACAGACTCATTCTGCTCATGAGTCATAAAGTCTCCGAAATGAAGCATACTAATTGCATAGGCGCACATCTGTCGCATACGACGTAAAAAGTTCTGGAGCTAGCGTCGACCGCCACTGGAGGCCGCGCTGAAGATGCCGGACGAAATTTAAACTTTTTTATTTATTTATATTATATTTCTTATTTGGAAGCGTTGTAGGAATGATAGATAAATAACAATATGCAAATACATAGTCAAAATAGAAAACTGAATAAAATGTAACATGACAACATGTCATACCTGTATAGCGGAAATACACGCGGAAGTAAAGAACATCTAAACAAATAGACATACAAGCGAAACAAATTTAGACTTCGTTCAACGTCGAGGGGTTGTCTTCGACAGTTCAGGAATAAGTAAAAGTAAATAGAGTTTGCTATTTCACCGTGAAGGGAATTCCAGTCTTTGAAGGTGTGTTAAAGAAAATCAATACTGGAACACTCTATTATGTTTCAATAGCTCTGCAATAGTAGTATTCACGATTGTTTTTAATCAGGCTGTGCATTATTTGGTAGGGTAATTTCAAACTTTTAAGATTATTTTTAATACTAAGGGTTGGTGGGTGTGCTCCATCCCTTAGAAAAATGAAATAAGTCGCTAACTCAAGCTAATTGAAGCACGCAATGTTTGTGGGTCAATAATTTTGTATCAGGAGCTACCAGTCGTAATTTACGTGTCAAGATCGAATCTCGGACCAAAGCCACACCGGCCAAAAGCTCACCGGACTGAACCTCACCCATTTTTTCACAGACCCGGAAAAAAGCTCACGAAGGGAAACTTTTATGTTGGGCTTAGCACGAGCGCGTGGGGGCAGCACGCTGACCTCTGTGGGATGTGTATCCTCTTGATTGGTGCAGTGCTCATGGCGTTTTTGTACGTCTTTGCCACGCAGGTTATTCAGGAGACGCTAGAGATCCCTGGGTCAGAGCTGCGCCTGGTCTACCACAGCGGCCACGCTCAGGGCTACCTGTCCACCATCCACCTGCAACTGACACCGTCTGCGGTGCCCGAAGACCTGCGCCTCGTGCACCTCCGCATTGTCGTCGAGGGCATCCTCTTCGAGAAGATTTTCGAAGCTGATCCGGACATTAAGTACACTTTCGCCTGGAACAAGCGCAATATCTACAAACAGAAGGTCTACGGGCTCACCACTGTCATTGGTGAGTCTTCCCGGCTTGTGTATGACTATCGCAAACCTTGTGAAGCACTTCTGTGAGATATGGTTCTCCTGGTATACATGATGTGCGCTAACGCTTCAAAACCACTTCAGATGGTTCGCAAAAAGCAGTTTTTTAACGTAACACGCTTAAATTTACTACAGAGGTACGACTAGTGGGTGGAATTTTTAAGTGAAAATATCAATGGATAACCTTACCTTGTCAAATAGACTTACCAGTCAACGTCCACAATATTCCATCGCTTTGTTTAGTTTGCTCGGCGACCCTGCGCGCTCTTCTCGTGTTCCTAATCCCAGTATGTCCCACACCGGTTCTTGTCCACGAGGTGCCATACATGGCCTCTCGTGCTGTGCTGATGAACACCACACCTCTTCCCACCTAGACAGAGGCCCCGTAGCGCTGGGGTGGCTTCTAAGGACGGTACTGGTGCGTGTTTCAGGCGATGGCATGGCTGGTCGAGCAGTCGCATCTTGTGCGATTGTAGGGGGGGGGGGGGGGGGGGGAGGGAGGGAGGGAGGGAGGGAGGGAGGGGGGAGGAGGGGGTTCTATGGTCTGGCAGCTGCCACACCTTGTGCAACTGAAGTGTCCGCACAGGGATATCCAAGTCCCACACAGGAAGAGACGAGACCACCTCTGGTTGAACTTGCAGCGACGGCCCAGCGGCTGCTTCGGAACTGTCGTATCCAGATTCCAGACACACAACTCGCGCGGATTGTCTGCGTGAGCCACTGGAGGCTCTTGGTCGTTGGGCTTCAGTCGTTCCAAAGCTGAAGGAATTTTCCTTCCAAAGAGCATCCAGGCTGGAGTCTTCCCAGTCGCCACGTGGATGGTCGTGTGCTGCTTGAACAGGAAGCGGGCTACTACGCTCTGAGGCCGTCTCATCCTCCCTTCGCAAGAGCGCGTTTCAACTCTCGAACACAATGCGTTCGACTTGCCCGTTAGTGGCTGGATGATACGGTGGACTGGTCACTGCCGTGAGGTTATTATGATGTACGCTAGAGGTTCAAATTACGCTATAGTGGTTTGGCAAATTAAAGCAGACGGCAACCAGTCGAAAATTTACCTCCGATAATACATTTTAATGGGAAAAAGTGAGTCCAATTTTTCCCTGCGCTTGATCTTAAGAACAAATATCACGGATAATTTCTACGTAATAGGTTGATTGGAAGAATTCTCAGTGCCGCAGACGAAGTAATTGGTCAGTTACGGCATTTTTCTTTCAAATCTATGGCATTAGGGCAACAACTCTTCGATTACGGGAAAAATAAAACGCGGCTTTAGTGCCAGTCGCCGCTTGTGCGAAACCGGCTTCGTACATGTATTTATGTGCAGTGTCGGACACTGTTAAGGCTCTGTCATACTCCGACGTCGAGCGTAGCAAACGCGGCGTAGCGCAGCGCCGTGTTTGCTACGCGTTTGATACGCCTAAAACCTGATTACTTTTTTTTTTTCGTAATCAGTAACACGTACATTAGCTATTTTAATAAGTTGTACCACTCGGCTATCAAGCAGCTCATGAAAGTTGGTACCGTCAGTTAGACGTCACTGCGCTGTATGTCGAACTGAAGTTTTGGAGTATATTATATGGGACAAGGGGTGTAAGAATATACCTTTTTTTTTTATTATTTTCTCAGAGTTTAGTTTGGTTCAAAACAGATACTGTAAATTACTTTATTTTTGTGGGCTCAGTATTTCGCGAATTCAGTGAAGTGCGGTTTTCAGGAATATTTCGCGGGCAATAACATTTGGTATGTTATGCATTTCTTACGATAGAAAAAATGTTTTTGGGGGGCCTATTTTTTGCGATATTGTACAAGTCGCGAAATCCGCGAAAATTGAGTGGTTTACAGTAGAGCACGTTCATAAATCGGCAGCCAGATGCGGATTCTGTTTTGAGGCAGTGGAAGCAACGCTGAGCTATTGGGTATTCTTTTGGTGCAGGTGTCTTCTTCTTTGTGGGCCTTTTGGACAGTCAGTTTACTTTGTTCTGTGTTGTCCTGAGATCATGCTACATAAATGCAGCACTTTCCGTGCGGACCCTGGTGTAGTACCTGGAAACGTTAGACGTGCCGAACTATAAAAACCGGTAGAACCTAAAATTCTAAGATGATAAAAAGAATAACAAGAATCAGGTGTCGGGATACCGTTGCCTGTTTTGGTCCCAAAACTCTTAAGCCTACCGGCGATTACGGCAAAGGTTGACGGGCTAAGGTACACGAGAGACACTATCATCGAAATAGAACAATCAGCTCAGCATATGTCACACAGTTACGGTGAAATACTTAAACAAAACAAACAAATTACCGAGATCAAAAATACACGTAAAAGTCGAAAAACAACAACAACAACAACGGAGGACTGGTGGTTCTCCGTTGTTGGATGTGAGACAAAAAAACCGCAGTGACGCGTTTTTTGCACCCCCATCGCGCCCTTTACACTTGTGGTAAAGTCAGCGAACCCCTACGCGTCCCTCACGTTGCTTAAATTTACTCACTTTGTGTTTTTTTGTTTATGACGCTCAGCAAAATTCCAATCGGAGAGATATGTCTATATTTACTAAATCAAATGCAAATTAATAAGGTTTTGTAAATTGTTTGGCTTGTCGTGACGGTTAGCCCCCTATTTTATTCGCCCGTACAGATCGCCCATACAGATCGCTTTTGCAGCTTTCTTTTTAAAAAATCGATAAAACCTAAAAGAAAACACCCTGTATGTTACAAGAACACCTGCCGAACTGTTCTTCTTACTCTTCAGTATTGGTCGGCTACGAGTACACGTCTTGTCAGCGGACAATATGGACAACGCAGTCGACGACTCTACGAGGGTACGACATGGACATTTCGGAGCTCGGAGGATGGAACCTGGACATCCACCACCGTTACAATTTCCAAGAAGGTAGGTCGCTCAAAACCATGGAACAATGGGCGCAGCATTTCACGCGTTTTCTGCTATGGTGGATATTGCGTATAACCCTCGTAAGTTGTATTTTTCCTCTTCGAGTAACCTAAGGTTTTTAATCTAGACTCAAGGTAATATAAAACAACAGATGTGGTAATTTGAAATCTGTAAGTTTTTACCTGGTGGAAGGAGATCACGAACTGACAATGAAATATAGGATCGAAATATTTGGCTTGCTTTCTTTTAGCTGTATTAAGTTAGGGCTGTTCGCCAGAAGCAGAATGCTAGCCTAGACCTGATAATGGGGGTCATGTAAACTTTGCCGAAGCAACAGACTTAATGTCGTTAGCGCGGCAAACTAAATAGGTGTTTGGAGTGCGTCAGCATTGAATCGTCTGCTTCGAAAAATCAGTCTTCAGATGATTTCGCCTATGAAGCCGTTAACACCAAACCTCTTCGACCCAGTTGATGTTTACATTGCTCTCTTCCATCGCTGTTTTACTTGCTTAATATGATCATCAAATCGCCAAGGCTCCCTTGCACACGAACACGAAGCACTTCACTACACGCAGTCACAAGTTTAAGACATGCGTGATCGATATTGCCACTAAGATGGGTGTGCCCGATCTTGAATAGTCGTAGGTATTGACGGCGCACCTGCTCCATTTAAAACTCTGCCACAATTTTAGCAGTCATTGTCCGCTTTTCAAAACAAACAAACCCAAGTAAATGGCTTGAAAAAAAAAAAAAAGACGTTTACAACTTCCTGTAACGCCGATTTAGAGCGCACCTCTTGAGGAGGAGGCGGGGAGGGTATGGCCCTCCTCCTTCTTTCACGGGCGAGACGCGCGCCGTTATGCGACGTTTCGGCGCGCTGCCGAAACTTCCGTGCGGTGCATTATGAGAAACGTCCCATAATGCACCGCGGTGACGTTTCGGCATGGTCCGCGTGGTGCATTATGAGAAACGTTACATAATGTACCGCGGTGACGTTTCGGTACGGTGACCTTTCGGCACCATGCCGAAACGTCACCGTTGTGCATTATGGCACGTTTCCCATAATGCACCGCGCGGTTACACCGACGGCGACGGCGACGCCGCTCAAGCCGGAAACAAGCGCCTAAGAGCTGGCTCTAAAAAGTCCAAGGGCAATCTATGCACTTCTTATGAGTTGTGAGTGCGGGAGCATGCCACCTGTGACGTATCGCTTCCGCCTCGCATTGTCAAAGGGCATCGTCCTCTTGCCGCCTGAGACGCTTTGAATCGCGATCCGCTTGCTCCCCCCGACGGCCGAGCGCGCGCTCTCGTGAAGTGGTCGCGCCGCGCTGAGCTCGGCCGTGCAGCCACTCCGGAGTCTGCCCGTGCGGGCTCTGCTAACTCGGCGCGGTGGACGGGCCGCTGCGCCGTAATAGAGAGGGCTTTTCTGGAGGCGTGCCTTGGAACTACGCTGCGCGAGAGCCACTATGAGCCTCGTTCCTTGAAACTATGACGCGCGCCAGCAGATAGGAGCCTGTCGATCAAATCGCTTCGCTCCATTGGGACAGGGGGCTTTAGGTACCGTTTGGCGCGGCTTCAAAAGCTGATAACCCCGGTTCGCTCCATGGGACAGTTAATGCTTTCTCATAAAAAAAAAAGAAGAAAGAGGTACAGAAAAGCCGGGATGATACCTACACACAGAAACGTGAGCAGGCATAATAGGGCTCTGTTTCATGCCTCCGAAGATTGGGCGTTCGCGAAGGAATTATGTGTGGCACAATAAAGAAAATATATTGGTTCACGAAAAGACGGTGAGCGTGCAATCGTAAGGAACGTCAATGATCTGCATAGGATGAGATAAACCACTTTTGATGCGATAGCCTTAGAACGCTCGTTTTGACGAAAACCCGGAGGATCCACCAATAGATCTTCCTGTAATTTTTATTTATTGATTAATATGTCGCTTTGGGCTTGTCATATGGAAATGGCGAATCCCGATTTTATACAACGCCGTGAACTAAAAGATAGTTTAGGCTCAAAAAACGCATTATCATTTACGTGCTTCCAGCTGAACGCAAGCTTTGTCAAAAATGAATTTGCTGCTTTAGAACTCATTTTTGCTGTGCTAGACGTCTCTTTTGGCGTTATGGTGCGATCCAAAACATAGTATAGGCCTAATGATGAAAGTGATGTATTTAATTTTCTTGACTTGCTCATTGTGCAAACAGGCCAAGTAAGCATAGGGGTGGTGTCTTTACATGTATAAAAAAGAACACGACTCACTATAAAGTACTTGTAATTAGAACCAGAGTATTATATCAGTGTTTTATCGTCCCCATATGGGGCGATAGAGCGATAGAACTGCTGACCGATGCTAAACTAATACTAAACTGCAAACAAAAGTTTTTAATAAAAAAGCATGTCATGATTTTTATTCGACTCACTTTTTGATAGTTTAGGAATATTAAAGTTATATCAACATTATTACTTTAAACTTCTTATAAAGTATACAAAAATAGTACCGTATAATAATTAGCTGTCCATGATCTTCAGCAGTATTAGGAAAGTACATCTAAAAAGTGCTCGAAGTACAAAGTAAATTAGAGGTTATGTACTTCAAGTAAAGTAGTAAGTACACCGGGCACAGATGAATACAACGTACTTTTGAAGTCAGGTTCAAGCACTTTTTAGCCCTATCTTTCATGGCCTTTCAAACTGGTATGCATTGCCCCAGGGGCAATCGGGTGCATCAGTTATTTTTGGAAATGGTGGCGAATATCAAATAAAGTCAAGTGGCCACAAAGTAGATTTTTCGCCAATGGCGCTAAATTCAAAAGTTCCTCCGACTTCTGAATTCGGAGTCGCTCGCACTGCCTCGCACCCAAGTGGGTTAAACGTACCAGGAGGAAGAGCATGACCTCAACCCCGTAGCTCGCACGAGTAATCCTTTGTTGAAGGAATGTCCTCTTCTAATTCGTTTTAACCTCTTCGCCGGCGCTGACCAAGCGAAAAGTAGCGAGAGTTTGAAGAACTGCGGCAAAGCCGCCAACAGGGCAAAACGGAGTGATGCATTGTCTGCTCGCGTCTCTGGTAAGAATGGAATATGCCTCCCATTATTTCTTTAGAGTTGACAATATGTACCTTAAAGTCCGGAGTCCTGAAAGATACTTCAAGTGTTGCACAAGTGCAGTCGCCCAATTTTCTTGTAATATCACGCAAGCGCCGACCTCCGGGACGGGCAGTGCCATGCCGCGTAGAAATGCGGCGTCACGGGAGAGATTATGCGCATGCGCACAAAGCCCTTTCCGGGGAGCGTCGTCTGCTAGGCTATTCCGCTGATCGCGCACAGCCCCTGCTCTGTAACAAAGGAGCGTGTTGCGCCGATTGTTTATACTCCGTTTCACTTTGTGTTGTACCGCAGCCGACGCTACGGGCCATCTTGGCCAGTCCATCGCTAAGAGTGTCTCACGGGACCTTCCTGTTGTGCACAACTGCACGTGGAAGCACGATGTCACGTGGCAGGGTGACAGCGCTGATTGGTTTTGATGGCTCGTAGCATTGGCTGCGGTGTATAGTTTAATGCATCGTTGCATTCAGCTTGTCGCGTCATCGTATTTTTCTTTTTTTTTTTGATGCTGGCAAAGTAAACGCAAACAAAAAATAAAATAATAATAAAAAAAAACTAAATTAAACGAGATGACGCGCGGTTTCTTTTACGCCTGAGCAGTATCACGGTATCATGCAAGCAAGCGCTGTTCAAATCTTTGCTTAAAGGCGGTCAGCTATGCCAGCAGATAAGGAACGCGGCTGTGTGCGGTCAACAGACCGCACACAGCCGCTCGCACCGGAGAGAGCTTTGTGCGCACGCGCCTAACCTCCCCCGTGGCGCCGCATTTCTCCGCGGCACACCGCTGGCCATCCTGGTGGTCGACGCTCGCGTGATATTATTAAAAAATTTGGCGTCTGCACATAGTCAGAGTATGTACTTTAAGTGCAGTTCATGTTTTCTAAACCAGCTTAAGTAGTGTTTTAAGTACAATTTATTTAAAGCACTTTCCAGCACTGACCAATAGCATCGTTAACGCAAAAAAGGTGTAACCCATTTTCCGCGCACCAGCCGGGCTTTTGGTTAGTGGACACGTCACGCAGAGACTATGGCCTTCAAGTTAGTCAAAGAACTTAGCCTACAGTATTAAACACATTTATGCATTGAAATATTGAAATATTGATACAGAACCTTGGAAAGTACATAAGCTTCGCGATTATTTGTGTACACCATTGTGTGCATGTGAGAAGCTGAGGGGTAGTCAAGCTACTTGAACAGCTTTTTCTCTGCTCCCCACCATGCTTGTAAAGGTGAATAAGGGTATTATAATTTATGAAAGAATTTGCTGAAAACAGAAGCTTACGAAGAAACAGCATCGTTTGCATGGATTACATATTCTCTAGCAGCAAAATAGTAACAATGCCCGCAAAAAAAAAAAAAAAACTTTTGAAAAGTACGCGAACTGCAGTTGTTTGGCTGACTATCACCGAGAGGTGTGTCTAAGAGTGTGCCTGGGTACTTAAAGGGGCGATGCAACGATTTTTGATCTTCGCGCATATAGCGCTTAGAACGGATCCCTGACGTTAATGACCTGTGAAACACCCGTTCGTTTTCCACCAAACGCAATTGAAGTCGCAAAAAAAAAAAATTAAAACAACATTTAGAACGGATTTTTGACGTTAATGACCTGTGAAATACCCACTCAACTCGCAGCCAGAAGAGGCGGCCACGTGACCTGGAGCCGATTAAATGCCGCGAATGTCGATCATAGACACGCGCTGGGGTTGGCAAGGCACAGGACACGCGCCGAGTTCCACACATTGCTATGGTTCGGCTATTGTCATCATTACAGCAATTAGACACGGGAGACTGCCCGAATGCTTCTCGAGCTATCGATTATCACGAGCCCAAATCGAGTGCCCATGCAATGCTCGGGTCCAATCTATGTGCCGCCCCTTTAAAAAATAATTAAACCCGGATAAGCTCCATTTCAAAATTTTATCATGGCTTCCCGCTGTGGATAGTGTTATTTAATCTTTAGCTCTGGAATCCTTAACTTTTTAACTTTATATATTATGAAAGCGCACCACTGCGGAGTTATGCAATAATACTTGATTGAACAAGCTCGCTGAACAGTGTCCAAAGCCACAAGCCGGTTGTCCTGTCTCCCACAACACGAAACAAAACCCTTCAGATATCATTATAGCGATGACAACTAAAATAAAATTTGTGATCTTTATGTTATAAAAGGGATGCTAGTGTTCCATAATCTTGACTCTCCGCTTAGAAGTCCAATTTAGCCACTGCACACGACTGATAAGATGAGATGCTCAACGCTTATAAAGATGTGGGTATTCCAGGAATATATCTGTCCGAAACATTTAAAGCTGCACGGGGCGAGGACACCACTAACCATTTCAGGATTCCACCGCCCCAGCGTGCGCGCCACGCAGCCGTAACTGCGTTTCCCTAAAAACCGACGTCAAGTCCGCACTTTCCACTTTTTTCCCCCTTCCTGCTCTTCTCCCTTCTACCCTGTCCACCGTTGCCTGTTTCCCCCTCCCCCTAATAAGGAGGATCTTCTGCCTTGCAGAATATCGAGTCTGGTCGTCGGCCTTTAACGCACTCGACCGTCGATCCCCCAGCGTGAGAGGAGTTGTTCAGTGCAGATCTTTGGGGTTTTCTGAGGTGTCACGACGAGCTTCTCTGTTCTCGGTGCAGGGGTCGTGCAGAAGGGAGACGGTTCCACGGTGTACTTCAAGCACCAGCCCCGCGTGATCTCGGTGTTGATGGGCACCGGACAGCAGCGGCCCCTGCTGTGCCCCGAGTGCAACGGTCTCGCCAGGGAGAACAAGCTCCTGGCCCCGGTGGCCCTGGCCAGCGGACCCGACGGCAGCGTCTACGTCGGCGACCTCAACCTCATACGGAGGATAACGCCAACCGGCCAAGTCTACACGGTCTTCAGGATGCGGTACGGACAACGCTTATGCGTGCGCGCTAAATAACGACTTAAACAAAAAAAAAAAAAAAAAAAAACTTTTTCAGAGCGCTGTTAGTTTTAGTCAACATGTCTTGTTGGATTGGGCTGAAAGCTCTCTTCTGACGTCTTACACTCTAAAAAAAAAAGGTGTCAAGGGAGAGTAAGTGCCCTGACTTACTCTCCTTTAACGCTATCTGCATGGAAGTTACTCTTTCCCGACCGCTTCTTTCGATGATACTCTACCTTAACCCTCCCTCGACCTCGAGAGTAACTGTAACGAGAGTTAGTTTCTCCTCGCGATATCACGGGCTGTCGATAGATGGCGCCGCTATGGGTTCGGCGCAAGTTCGACGCTGTTTGGCGCAGGTATTTTTTTCGTTTTCTCGGGGAAACCTTTTTTCCTATCCGCTTTTCTTTTTTTTTTCTTCTTTTTTTTTTTTGGGGGGGGGGGGGGGGAGATGTGGCAAGGATGTTTTAATAAATGAGTTGGTACAGCCTGCCTTGACGGGTTTATATTTCAGTATTTATTAACTTAATTATTACCTGCGGCAGGAAGATCATTGGAGCGGGGGACACTCCTTTATCCAAGCAATAGGCAATTAATGTTTTTGCTAGACAGATATATTAAACAATAAACATATAGATCAGTGTGTAAACGGGTGTATGAGCGGATGCTGACGCGCGTGTGCGATTATGTTTCGTTACATAAGTGCCTAGGGTTGTTATGTAGCCCAGAGATGTTTTTGGGGCATTGTTATATTTTTGGAGGGTCGTTTCAAGTTACTGCTGAGCCCGACCTCACTGATCATAGGAACAGGTATATGTATAAAAAAAGTATTTTTTCCACATTCGCATTAAAAGCAAGCAAAGAGGAAAACCTCCCTCCGTGACAGAAGAGGTCGGCTTCGCGCGGTCTATTGCATACGCCACGTGACGACCATTTCATGAAGCGTCGCCCTAAACACGGCGTTCGTTTCGAAGCCATGTATAGGTTCGAAAAACCTATACATGGCGGCAAGCCAGGTTTATGGTACGTGACACTAGGGGCTCCCTTATTTTCACCGCCGTGGAGAAAATAAACGACGGAGCCAGAGCGTTTGGAAAAGTTGTTAGCGATGATTTCCAAACTTGTTATGCGGTCTTTGTTTTGAGTCATTAAATAAACTTGGCTTGACTACTACCTTTTTTTTTTCAATATTTACATTTTACTTTCCGAAGCGCGGGAGTCGATCAGTCTTTTGCTCTGTTCAAGAAAAGCTCTGGGGGGTTAAACCTTTAACTCTGCACAGTTTGCTACATCCTTTAACTGTTTTAACCTCGCTCTCCGAAGCTCCCTTGACAGGAAGGTTTTCGATGTAAGGGAACATTCAAGATCGCTGCTCTTTTCCGCTGTTCATCAAACAGTTCCTAATGTACAGCGGAAGCACCGTGTAGCATTCCGGATATCGATATTTGTGGTACGGATCTCACTGGCTTTAAATATAGATACATTAGTGTGTATTACAGAAGTCTTATTTCGCTGTCCAACAGAGCCACATTTAAACTGCCATTGACGGGTTCACCTTACGTTCAGTTGATTCTACACAGCAAGCGATAGCTCAATTATTTTGGGAAGAACGTAGACTGCTCTATGTCACCCTACGATATGTTAAAAAGTATGCTAAGCTTCTTATGTTTAATGTCCCCGAGGTACGAAACACGGACGACAGAAGCTCAGTTAAAATGAATGAGCGAAATTGTCTGTATGTTCTGTAACTAGCGGTAGCTTCCTCCATCTAGCATGGCCTTCGAAAAAGCCTGTGTCTAGAGTGCCGTGGTACTCTTGCCAAGCGTTCAAGTGCCCACGTCCGATGGCACTCTAAGCACGCATTGGAGTGCAATCCGAAGGCCCTAAATGGGCTGTACAGAAGACGTGGGTCAGCGCGTCCCGAGAAGCATAGCCTGCCGCATCCGTAAGCTAAAGAAATCCGATTTACAAAAAACTTTTCACCATCGAAGTGCTTCGGAAGTGAGGGAAGTGTCGCAAGCGGAAATTTAGAGGACCCAGAGGAAATTAGAGAGTAAATAAATTTAGAGGAATTTAGAAGATAAATAAATCTGTCTTTTAGAGACAGCCAAATTTACTTATAAGCTTGGTCTTGGTACCAATCCAGCCAGCTGAAAGTCATGATGTGGAAAGATTGTGAACTTTAATTTGGTCTCCTGTGTTTGTTAGTCACCGAATCGACAACAAACCAGCACCGACCAGCCAGCTATTTTACGACGCAAATAGTTTCACGAAAAAACTTCAAAAAAAAACTTCGAAAAAACAAATAAATAAACACAAAAAAGATGGTGTGGAATGGGCATGCTGCGGACACTAAAGTTCGTTAATATTTTTTTCTTATTTTTTTTTTTTTTTTTTTTGTATGGAGCATTAGTGCAAGCTGGGTGCAAGGTGCGCAAGGAACGAGCGAGGCGCCCGTTGAGTCCGGATTCCCTGGATTACCGCCTTCGGACGCACACGCTGTCCTCAGTTGCCACACAAAGCCTTTAGTCATGGATCGGGGACTTTATCCCCCGTAAGCTGACAGCGCGGTGGAAACTACGTGCTTGTTAGACCGTTTGACTGTCAGTCTCGCACCACGTGATCACCCCTTCTCCGCATACACACGCGAGGCGAGCGAAATCAAGCGATAGGAGTCAGGCCACTGAATGGTTGGCTAACGCTTAGCTTCACCGCATTGTCAACTTAGAGATGAACGAAATAAGAGCTCACCTCTACAATCAATTTCCGGCCTGTTATCGCCTGACGTCACTTTCTGCGCGCGAAACCTCCAACCTTGAAAGCAACAAGATCGTTTTGCCCACGAGCAAGCTTCCCGGAACTTTAGAACGGATGCCTTGCGAACGATGGGGCCTAGGAAGAGTAGCGCTGCCATATTTTTTTTTTTTTTTAATTCTGTTTTTGATTTCACGAACGGTTTCGGAATATATGACCGAATACCGTTTTGGCATCTCCACAGAACTAAGATTTAGTGACACTATGAATGTTAACCATTTTGTTCTTAGCTCGAGACTGAGGCAAAAAAAGAGGAAAGTTTCAAAGTAGAAGAAAATGAACAGTCGAGGTGTGTCCTCGACTGTTCATTTTTATTCTACTTTGAAACTTTCCTCTTTTCCTGCCTCAGTCTCGGGCTAAGAACAAAATGGTTAACATCCACCAGCTCGCCTGCGCAATCACTACATTATCATTTATTACTATGAATGTGTCATTGATAGTAGGTATTCCATGCGCAATTATGCATAAATATATAGGACAACGATAATTTATTTGTTATGTTTGTGAACACGGAAAATACATAAATGAATTAATTAATATATTTATAAAAGTATCTGTTTCACATTTTTTCTCAAGAAGGTCTTTCTGGCGCGCTTCATGGGTAACAACACAATCATTTAAGTACTAACGTGTGCACTTATATGGCAGAATTTTTTTTTATTTTTATACAAAAGAATTTTACGTTAATTTACCTTAATTACTTTTCTCGATTAAATTTTCCCTATAATAAGGGACGTGCTTAAATGCATATATGCTTCTGTGGAACCCTGCTGTCATTGCTGCCAAGAAAAGCAAACATCTTTTTGATAGGACAGGTCAGGACTGCTTATATTATAAATTTGAAATAAACCCCCGTGCCAAAATCACCGGTGCATTTCCAATGAGAGGGGCCGCCATCCCGTGCTCGCCTGGCGTATAAATGATCAGTGACTCGTCATTCGAAATCTATAGATAGTATTTCGGATGTAAACATTATTTCAAAGCAAATGAGGGCGAAATTACAGTCGATGTGCCAGAGTGAATCGTTATTTAAACAAGAGTCCCACCTACACCAAATCTATGACGTCGCGCTTAGGCGGTGGTGCAGCCTGTTGAACGGAGCATGGCCGAACGCTTCACACTTCGGAAAATGGGTACATGCAGCGCGTCGTGCGCGGAGCTCTTGTGTGCAAACGCGTGCTTGTTTACACGCAATGAGTTGGTGTACACTCGATTCAAAGGTCAAACTGTTCGTGAGAGATTATTCGGCGTGAAGTCGGTCTGCCTTTCAAGAATTGCGACACTGGTTCACGCTGTACATGAGACACGCGTAGCTACTGCAGCACGACCGCTAACCTGAGGTCGTTAACGTGCATCACGCGCTATACTTAGTTTCACCTCCGAATGAACCGCAGATGCTGTTTCAGTGCTTGTGCATCCGCGAGCGCTCGTGTGCCCGCCGAGGCGTCATCCAAAACAATTAGCTCGCGCTTTTAGCACGTGTGACCAAAAATGGTCCATGCTGAGGTGAGACGAAGTATTCCTGGTGTTCATAGCACGTTCTGCAGAATGAGCTTGCGCTCCTCGTGCTCCTAGCTCCAACCAGTCAGCGACTCGCGCGGGCTAGCGCGAAATCCTCCCTTTGAAACAGAAATTTCTAGCGCAAGCGGTCATTCCGCGAAAACATTTCTGAAGGCTGCACTTTCGTGCCGGTAGCCTTCGCTGTTTAAGGACAAGCTTCGGGCACGTGCAGCATTCGCGCGGAAATATATTTTGGTGTTGTAGTAGTATTTTGAAGTGCAGGAGAAAAGCTGGAAGCCACCCGCATCTATTTCACGAGCAGAGTGCTCGCGAAAGTAGCGTAAGTACTTTTAACGTAAGCTACCACTTTTAGAAACAGATTGTAATTGTTTGAATAATCTTCTATTTGTTCTTTTTTCCCAAAAAATTGATTCGTGATTGGAGTGATCTCCGAGAATACCGGTCACCAGTGATACCTGTATAGTGCCATATTGGCGTGACATTTGAGTGCTGTGCTCTTGAGGCATCGTGTTCCTTTTTATTATTCCTGTTTTTTTTTTGTTTTTTTTTTTTTTTTGCAATTTGACAACTGGATTTTTATGTAGTCGGACGCTGTGTTTCTCTATCTGTGACAATTTAATAGTTTATGTACGAAATTAATCCCTAAAAT